TGGGGCCGACGCGGCCGCCGCTCTCTTGTCTGTTTGGCGCCGGCCAGGTTCTGTGCAACATTTGGGCATCTTTTGCCAGGAAAGTGCCCACATCTTGCATGTTAGCACTTCCGCGAGGCTGTTGGCCTGCCGCGGGCCCTTTGTGCAAGCCGAGACGCTGGCCATTGGGGCCGACGTGGCCGCCGCTCTCTTGTCTGTTGGGCGCTGGCCCGGTTCTGTGCAAGATTCCGCTGGGCGCGAATCTCGACGGCACGGCGCCGCAACAGAAAACTGCTCTTCTTTGTCATAAAACCGGATCCGCCTGCTACAGCGGTCCTCGCGGGCCACGCCCGTGAGCCATTCCGCATGCTATGGCGCATCCCATAAAAACGCAGCTTTTTGCTTCTTTCGAGGCCCCCGGTCTGTATCTACCGCCCGGACCGAACCGCTAGACGCCAATCACGATGGCACGGCGCCGCGTCAGAAAATTGCCTTTTTTTGTAACAAAACTGAACCCGCCTGCTGCGGCGGTCCTCGCGGGCCACGCCCGTGCGCCATTCCGCATGCTACGGCGCAACCCCAAAAAAACGCAGCTTTTTAGTTCTTTCGAGGTCCCCGGTCCGTATCTGCCACCCGGGCAGAACCGCTGGACGCGAATCACGACGGCACGGCGCCGCATCAGAAAACTGTTCTCTTTTGTCATAAAGCCGAATCCGCCTGCTACGGCGGTCCTCGCGGGCCACGCCCGTGAGCCATTCCGCATGCTATGGCGCATCCCATTAAAGCGCAGCTTTTTGCTTTTTCCGAGGTCCCCGGTCTGTATCTGCCACCCGGGCAGCACCACTGGACGCGAATCACGACGGCACGGCGCCGCATCAGAAAACTGCTCTTTTTTGTCACAAAACCGAATCAGCCTGCTACGGCGGTCCTCGCGGGCCACGCCCGTGAGCCATTCCACATGCTATGGCGCATCCCATAAAATGCAACTTTTCGCATTCCCACTCTGTATCTGCCGCCCGGGCAAATGCATTTTACGCAAAACACACTTGCACGGCACGCATTTTTTTTGTTTTGTCTTTTTCAAATGTTTCCAAAAGAAACATTTGACGTTTTTTGCTTTGCATTTGCTTTGCATTTACTTTGGTTGTCATTTGTTTGAGGGGGGGGGGGTGCTTTTCATTCTGATAAGAACAACAAGCGCTTCATCGTTGTTCAAAGTCGAAGTAGACATCAACACTGCCCTACAGTACACAATTGTTCACTGTGAAGCCAAGGATGAACAAATGAAGGTCAATATGGTCTGCGCAACAACTGCGCTTACCGTCCCGTGCTGTTCTGTTGCCAAATTGCTTGTGGCTCCGACACTTCGGAGTAGTTTTTTCTATCCTACAGACGGCGAACCGCGATGGCATCATGCAGAAAATTCGGATCGGAAACCGAAACCAAAGTCGATCACCTTCCTAGAAGGTCTTCTAGTATCCATGTTGATCTAATTCATTAAAATGAAACAAAGCATAACAATGAGAGTGACATGGTGAAACTAATGCGGTTATTTCTTATGTAACACACTGGTGGTGGAGTAATTCGTAGAAGCAAAAAAAAAAGTATGCGGCATGGCAGGCTTACCTCCTAGAATAAAAAGATGAGGCAAACAAAATCAGAATGGCCACGCAATTATCTGTTGTCTGCCTTGCTTACGGCATCAATTACATTGCGTTTGCAACTCAAAGAGCAACAAGGTGAAGGTTTTTCTTTTTCTGTTATTATAGGCAAGAGCTAGTGCAGACAGCCAGGCTTCCTCGAAATCGAAATAGAAATTTTTTATTTTCAATGAATAAGCTGAGGGGGACGGGATGTGAAACACTGTAACGAAATGTGCGGAGGATCTCGAATACAACCGCTACCCATCTGTCGTGACTATTCGCAATACTCGTTGAGCACTTTGTAGCCGTCTCTGAGATCAATACAATCCGGAGTGGATGCGCAAACGTTGTAGTAGAAAAAATCCGTGCGAACCTCAGCCCATCCTCCGCACGCAAAGTAGATGGAAGCAGTCATGTCAAAGGCGTACATAAAATGAAAGTAGCAGCCAATCAGAATGGCGACGTAGAAAAAGAGCAAGCGCCGGCTCGTTTCCTCTGCAGACGCCGGAATATCTTCAATAGACCCTTTATTTTCTTCGTCCAACTCCGTCTTTTTCTGGCTCGCCTCCTCCCCGGCAAGTCCACGGAGTTCGCACTTCGGGGTCGCATTGTTCCATTTCCAGTTCCAGCCTTTTGGCCAGTTTTCCCACTGTTTATCGACCGGAACACAGTACATGTTCTGCTCCACACTCAAACAGAGCGTGTCCACAACGACTTCATACAGCAGACCGAGAAAGAGTGGCGCAAGCAGGTGAATGAAGTCGACTTCTTGTTTGTATTGGTAACCAAGATTCCAAATCCAACGTAGGTCGTACCTTAAAGGTGTAAAATTTTCATCCGCGCCAGCATCTGCGCAAAATGTAGGAGCTCGAAGACAATTTGACCTGCTTGGGCTGATAAGCACGAAAAAGGCCTCGGAAGGGGTTGTTGCAGCAGGTTTTTGGAAGTTTGCTCCGATGCAATTCCCCGCCTCTCCGCATCAGGTCCACACAGTGCGAAAAACCTACCCGCACTGAAGACATTGGCGCGCGCACTGTAATCAGACACGAGGTTGCTCTAATGCATTTGGAGAGAGACCAAGCCGTCTTACAAAGAGCGAAGCAGTAAAGAAGGCACTAGAGCAAGTTCGCTACTTTGCTTGCTCGAATCTCTGATCCGAAAAGCACACCCGTGCCTCCGTAAAAGAAAACCGTAGCGGAGCAAGTTTGCTGGTGATGCATTTTGCTCGGATGCAGACACGGATGCGTTTTCCGGATCAGGGATCTGGGAATTGTTTTCCTCGATTTCGTCACCAAAGCTGAGAGCAATGCCCCCAGGCTCGCGTGAGTTGCCCTGATGGACCTCTTCAGGTTCGTTAGCGGTCCAAAGGCACTCAAGGCCCAGGGCTTCGATCCGAAAAACGCATCCCTGTCTCCATCAGAGCAGATTCAACGAGATCCAATGTTGTCCAATACATCTAACAAGAACCTCGACAAAAACTGCTCCGATGCGTTTTTTTCTGAAGCGAATCACGATGGAGAAAAATGCATCGGAGCAAAATGTCGGATACCCCATTCTTGAACCCCCAAGGACGACCCCCAGAGGCTATTTCCCGGGAGGCCGGCACTTGCCCTCATGGTTGCTCGGATGCAAATCCAAGACCCTTGGCTGGCCGTCAACGCATCGGGGCTCGCCGCACTCAAACGGCGCGTGAGGCTCCAAGCAGAACGAAAGCGCCGCCGCCAGAAAGAGGGCCGGGCGGAGAATGTCAGAGAGGCACTGGGGCAAAACACACTGAAACCAAGCGTAAGGGTAAAACACAGCCCAGCGTGATGCGCTCTAATTCTGGCGCCTAACCGCGAAGGCCACCAACGCCGGCCATAGCGCTAAACTCAGGCCGGTTGAGGTGTCTTGCGGTCAGCCGTCCGAGACGCGCCACAAAAAATATTGGTAACCAAGATTCCAAATCCATCGAAGGTCGTACCAGATCAGAATAGAAAGAGGGGCAAGCGCGATCGCCGCGTACTCAGTCTGCATCTCTGATAGGAGGACCTGCGCCTGAAAATGCCGAGGCGATTTCGAGTTGAACTCCTTTTCGATGCGCTCCTCAGTCCACCGGCACACATGCTTGGCGTACCTACACATTTTTCATATTCAAAAATCTTTTCGACTTTGATGATCATATCTACCGCCAACTAAAACAGAACATCGATTGATAAAAAGTAAGTTGTACGGACTTCATCTCTTGAGAAGAAGACCGAAAGTCAACGTCAAGTCAATGCGTAAAGTATGCTTGCCAAGAAGGGAGCTGGTACTCAATGATTTAGCAAAAGGAAAACCCCTGGAGAGAATACATTTGGTCCCGCCAATCGAACGTCTGCCTGAAGAGTACTTCCTCGAATGCTTGCACCGTCAGCGTTGTTAGTGCGATGCCCGTAGAATCAAAGCTGGCAACGAGAAACCGACCGACGAGGGCCCGCCAAAAATTGAACGCGCCAAGCACCAATGCGATTTGAATATCGTTGCGAGCAAGCGGGGATGAATCCACTTCCTCCCCGTGCCTGCAAAGTCTGTCGGCGCGCGCCTGACCCTGCCTGAGTTTCGTTGCGAGTGAGGTCCGGAGCACCGACCCGGCAATCTCCGCCAGGATTGGCCAGGCAAGTGTCCATGCCGCTTTCTCGGTGTCCGGTGCGGCAGCAATACGTGAGGGCACACGCGCAATGGTACCTATGAGGACCATCGCAGTCAGTACGAAAGCAGCCACGGCGTTACCCTCGGCGACGGACTTCTGGTTGTTCGGCGAGCGATTTGCGCGGCGGTCGGACCACTGTGTGATTTCTTGCGCCGCGAAGAAAAAGGTGGGGGTGCGGGCGAAAGGGCGGGAGGGGGTGCGGGCAAGGAGGCGGGGGTCCCCTGCGCGTGGGTTGTGAAAGAGGAGGGCGAGGGGCCCCCTGTAGGCGGGATACCCAGCGGGTGGGAGCCGGGCGGCGGGGGGCCCCCTGCGGGCAGGATACCCAGCGGGCGAAAGGGCGGGAGGCGGGGGCCCCCTGTTTTCCCCGACGGTATGCTCGACGCAAAAATAGTAGCCGTCAGCGTGCCGTCGTATCAAAAAGTCTGGGCCTCAGCGCGTGCCGGTCTCAATTCGAAACGCGGTAAACAAACTGACTCAAACCTTTTTCTTTGGAGGAGTCGCGGGGGTGTTTTTCCCTGCAGCGATTCCGGGCCGCGATCGCTCGGTTATGGTCTCGTTCATGATGAGCTCGCGATAAAGCCGAATGCCCTTCTCCAGTTTTCCACCACTCGCAGACCACTGAAGCTCGGTGGGCAGGTGATTCATCATGTTGTCCCTGTGCAAATCTCTGTTAAGATTTTGGGTGTCGCCAGCCCCCGCAGCGCTGGAAATTGAAAAGTTGAGAGGCAGTTTCTCATGCAGGATAGGCATGATAGTGATCGCACGGTCGGAATCTGTCATGCTAGGTCCTCCATTACAGATCATATGGGTCATGGAAAACAGGCATGACAAGTCGAGCAAAGTTGCAGACCCAGACATTTTGCATTTGATAAATCAAGCTGTGATGCCCTCCCTGACCCGCACTAGAGGACGTCGCGGCGAACATGTTATTCCCCTGGACGGGTTCAAAAAACAGCTCTTCCCGGCCATTCCGGTCGTTCTTCCGCACAACCGGAACGAAATTCCCGGACCCATGAGAGTTCAACACTGCGGCGGACACTTTCATGCCCCCATTCAGGAAGTCGGTTGCAGTTGTTGCGGAGGAGGAAGTTGTATTAGTAGCCTTCGGTAGTTGAACTGCAGTTGCGCTCGGTGAGGAAACTAGAGGTTTTTTCGACACCTCCGATACTACGCCACTTTTATCCGCTTTGGGAGAGGAAGATGCAGCAACAGTATCATCGTCCTCGTGCTCCACCACTGCCGAGGAAAACGTGACCGATTTCTTCCGCGAAGCAGTATTGGTGTCTGTCTTGCTAATATCTCCCGCGAGCACAGCAGGAACGGGACTGGTGCTAGTGGGTTGCATCGGTGGGTTCAACAAGTTTCGGCTGCGCTCCTCGGCCTGTTTGTTGTACGTAGACAGCAAAGCCTTGATTTCGTCCCGCAGTTCGACCGAGGTGCGTTTGGGTTTATCCAGTGGGGAAGATGTAGTTGATGAACTAGTTGCATCCTTATCTTGATCATGTCCCTCCTGATCGTCGCTTTTACTAGTTGTACCAACAGTGTTCTTGCCTGCATCAAGTAGAACTACAGGATCGTCGTTTTCGGTCGTTTTCGGTCGTTGTGGAGATCTCTGAGTACTTCCTTCACAGAACGTTTTTACAACGTTGTGCCGCCGCACAGGGTGAAACGTGCCTCGAACGTGTCCCTTTGGGTGTCGCCTGCCCCCGCAGCGCTGGAAATTGCATACTTCAGCATCTGCACCCGTGCTAACAGGCGCAGGGTGGATTTGGAATTTTGCATGACAAATGAGGGGCAGAGGGAGTTGTGCACTTTCATACCAAAACCGGGTCCGGGAACCGCCACTGCCTATTCAAATCCACACCCGCGAGACTGCACCGGTAGTTCCCGGAAATCACCCCATCGGGGTTCAGCATCGGCACGATTTTGAAGATGAAGTGCGACCGCAGCACCTGCGCTTCTGGGGTGTTGGAGAGGATGAAGTTCAGAAACCCGTGCATCAACCACGATATCCTGACAAAAAACGTCCCCACTTCATAGTCAAGTTGGTAAATCTGCAACACAAATCTCCAAGTTTTAGGAGTTGCGCATAACAAGTTTTCACCTGCAGTGTAGTGCTGAGTAGCAAGGGAAGCCGCATGAGAAAGCCGCTTTCTCATCCTGTTCACAGCCTTACAAATGTCAAAAGACGATTGGAAATACCTGTCATGGAGATGGGCATCACAAATCTTTCTGTCATGGCGGATTTGCATGACAACTATGCAGAAGTGTGGACGTTTTTACACAGGATACACGACGCGTTTGCCTCACCCGGGTGGACGCGGGAGGAAATGACGACGTACCGTTTGTCCTCTCTCGGGACGGTCCAATTACTGATGGACAACAGATCCACCTCCGCCCGGCCGAGCGTTTGGCACAGCGGTCTATGAACTGCAAAAGTATCGTAGTAGTAGCAATTGCAATACAAATTAGCTCAGCATGACATATGGAGTTTGTCATGCTGTTTTACCTTCAGATGGAGATTTGCAATGCATAAACGCAATTACTACCACGGGTACGATACTTTTGCACAGGATACGGTCGTCTCCGCATCAATTTCGCTTTCTCCGCGTACTGCTCGTCGGTTTGGATCGTGCGGTATGCACTGCAAATATGTCTGGGTCCGGAAGGCAGTAACTTCTCATGCAGGATAGGCATGACAGAGACCTCGCAGAGTTTGTCGTGCTAGGTCCGGCATTCCAGACCTCATGGGTCATGGAAAATCTGCATGACAACTTGCAACCTTCCAGACCCAGACATATTTGCATCTGATATGCGGAGTAGGGTGCGGAGGGAAGAATACGTGTACGGATACGTGTACGCGATAAAGCAGTATGGAAGTGCACAACTCCCCCTCCTCCTCATGTGTAATGCAAAATACCTAATTCACACATTGTTCGTAAGCACTGTTAGCATGACAAATTTCGGAACCTCAAATAGTGCGAAAGCCCCTTTTCTGCTGTTCAGGTTCTGGGTGTCGCCAGCCCCCGCAGCGCTGGAAATTGCATACTTCAGCATCATGCATTACAAATTCTTTTCTTACGGTAAATCCGCATGACAAATTTTATTTCTCATGCTGGGGAAATTTGTAATGCATTTATACGAGTGCGATACTTTTGCACAGGATATAGTTTATCCACTTATGAATCCATCGTGTCTGGCCCCCGGACTAACTGCAACAAATGTGTAACTAAAACTCCAACAAATGTGTAACTGCAACACTTTCTTCCTGTGATATGCCGCCCTGGAATTTCATTTTTAGTATGCCATCTTCGCATGACAAAACGCATCTTATTTGGTGGAGAGAAAATGTTCCGAAAGAGCGCCTTCTCAGGATCGGAATACCTGTTCCGTAAAACAACATCTTCCATCAGGAAGCAATATCAACATTTTACTTTCACTTTTACAGCGGCCGGAAATTAATATTATATCCCACGACAAAACTGTTTCACTGTGATGGTTTTGCAAGATCTGCATCACAAGTTTCTTACACATGACACAGAAAATTTGCCATGCTCCCTTCCAAAGGGAAAACACCCTGAAAGAGTCACGGTCTTGTAGGTGTAGCAAGACAAATAGTTCTGTGTTCCAGTTTATGCATCACAAGTCTACAGTGAAACAGTTTTTTCTTGCGATATAATATCATACCTTCCCAATAATCCACCCGACCTCTTCCCGGCTCAAAAAGAGCCGGACCCTGCTGAGACTTTCGGGCTCCTATGAAATGCAAATATGTGATGCGGTCTTTGGATTTTTCCAAAAAACTCTGTATTGCATAACCAGCAATAATAAAGGAGAAGTCCAGTTTGTGCTACGCGGAGAGGGCAGTATTTCTCATGCGGAACAATACGCATCAGAAAGCCCTCTCAAAATCTGTGGCGCCAGGTTATACATTACAGGCATCATGGGCCATGCAAAATATGCATGACAAGCCTGGCAATTATCTTCCAGACCCAGACATATTTGCCTTTGATAGCTCCAGCATCGTGCCGATGTGCAGGTCCTATGTTCTGGGTGTCGCCAGCCCCCGCAGCGCTGGAAATTGCATACTTCAGCATCTGCACGTAGAAAAGCAGCACAAGAAAAAACACCACATTGGGGTGTCTCCCGACAAAGCAACCGTAACTCCGGAGAACCGCCTTGAGAAACGGCTCCGTGGTAGGGGGCGAAGAGTCCTCGACATCAAGGACATTTCGTTCCCCGGAATAATCGCCGAGAGCTTCATCTTTATCTTCCCTCCATTTGGCAGTGGGCACAGCATTTCTTCCGATGCCGTCTTTGCGGTTTCCAGGCAAGAAGTCATCTTTCCGAACAACGACAGGACCGGTTTCCCCGGGTTTCGGCGAAGGTTCGGTGGCTTCTCTTGTTGCCCCTACTGAATTCATGCCCTCTACAGGTGGCCCCGGCTCGATGTCGATACACGGACAAGAATCCGAGGAAGCTGATCCAGATTGCGGCCGCATCAGACAAGTTTGACCCAAGGCGCACTGTGAAAAGACGTCTGGTGTCTTTGTCTTGGGCCTGACTGACGCCACCGCGTCAAAAAATCATCCCAACAATTCGGGTCGACTTGCCGCGAACGTAGACGCGTTGTGATACGCCATAGAAATGAAAAATGTATAAATATGGTACTTACAGCGTCACCATCAATATGCAAAGATCACCACATGCCAACTGACAAATGGCCGTGTAACTACACGTGACTACAGGAAGGTTCTAAAGTTGAAAAAACTGTTTCTCGAAAACACAATGGACGAAAAGCACATCAACCTTTGGCAACTCTCAAGCAACCGCGCGTTGGCGTTCGCGTTGGCCTCCTCTCTTACAATTATTTGCGTACGCTCCGTCATCATTTCTTCTACTAAGACTTTCCGTAATCTTGCTGAGCCTGAGGTTAGGAATTGCATCTTTTGCGTCTCTCTTTTTTTCGCGAGGAGAGCGGTCCTCTGGTCATTATTTGAAAACCAAGAACGAGGCGGAAACAAGAATGCAGTCGGTTCCGTCGCTGCAAGATTTGGCGAGAACGCTGTTGATACATATCAATGCGTCTCACGCATTCGCATTTTCGATGTGTAGTCGTTTAAGATTCACGTGCTAAGTGGTCGTTAGATGATTGCTTTTTCGTTTTCCCACCCAAGCGAGATTGTGTCCGCCGCGCGGGGGTGTTGAGAATACGCGACAGTTAGTGATGCGGCAAGTTACCTCCGCTGTTCTATTCACGGAGGGAGATGAGTGAAATTCGAAAATCGGCGTTTGCTGTATAGGTACGAGGTACAACATGATACGCGACAGAACAAAAGAGGAGCTCAAGAAAAGATTGTTCTTTCCGCTCCCTGTGTTTTGAATGAAACCCAAACGCCCCCTTCTCATCATCATCATCATCATCATCATCCCGCACCCGCGGTCGTGTCAAGCTACTAGAAAAGAATACATAAATATTACAACTATGGGCCAAGTCCAGAAAGCGATCAACTAGCATCTAGGTAGGCTCGCTGCACCTAGGTAGGTCAGTCTCCATTTTTCCCCGATATTGGTGAAAGACCCGTGCCTCAGTTCGACTTAGATGGGATAGAGACGTCCTTCGCGGGGGAAGAGGCGGAAGACGAAGTGCGGGTATCTTTTCGGTCATCGCTCGATGCCTGCTCTACCTTGGTTTCGCCCGTCTTCGCTTCGCCGCTTTCGCCGGCCGGTGGCTGGGCGGCCGTGGCAGTTGTCGTATCCGGTGCTGCACCAACAGCTGGAGCGCCAGGAAACTCCTTTTCCACGTCGTCAGGTAAAGGAGAATGGAATCCACAGTTACGCCGCTGCACCACCACTTCACGCCCGTTGTCTAACGCCACCCGCAATTTGATGCCTACCTTCATCAACACCGTGCCTTTTACCTGAATGGTTGCATGTAGTTGGTCGTGTAAGGTTTCTTTATTCCGTTTGATGTTCAGGGAATCTTCAGATTGTTGACTTAGCGATATCATCCGTCGCAACTACGCGGAATGGATCGCTCCGAAAAAAAAAACAATCAAGCTCGAAGTATAGTAAGTACTTACCCCGTTCAAGTCCTTGTGACCCTGCAGGTTGATAAGCGACATCCGCTTGCCGACACAGTAGTGCTTTTTGCCGCTTGCGTTGGAACTATTGCTGCTAGACGACCTCGAACTATTGCTGCTAGACCGGGACCGCGACCGGGACCGCGAGCCGGACCTAGAGTTCCTCCGGTTCTTTTCGCTGGTCCGGCCGGGGGATTTGGTTTCCGCGTTGTTTGCGGCCGGCGGAGCCGCGGTGCTGTCTGCTACGTTTGGCTGCGCCGGGGCGGGGTCGGGCTTTTTGTTGTCCGTCCCCGCAGGAAGGGAAACTGCCCCTCCTGCGCTTGGGAAAGTGGAAAAATCACGGCGGGGAACCGGCGGCAATCGCTGCTCGACGCGAGGCGGAGATCGCCGCGTTTGGTTATTGTACTTGTTGGAACGCGATCGGCTGCGGTGACCACCCGTGCGGCCGCGCCCCCGACCCCGAGAGTCGTTGTTTCGGTGGTTGCGCCCTCGCGAGTCGCCTCCACCGCGCCGGTTGTTTCGGTTGTTGTAGTTGCCCCCGCGGAAGTTGTTGCGACCACCGCCGTTGTAGCCCCCGACCGTGTTGCGGTTGTTGTACCCATTGCCCTTCCGCCCGCGATCGCGGGAGTCGCGGCGGCCCCGAGAATGGTTGTTCCTTCGCCCCCCGCCGCGCGGCGAGTACCCACCACGTCGGTTTGCCGGCGTCCGCGAACGCCGCCCGCGGTGGTTCGCCAAAGGCTTCGCGGAGCTACCGCGAAAAAAGTCACCGTCCTCGGAGGCCGACCGAGCCTTTTGTTTTGATCTAGCGTTCCTCGAGGGGACGACTTCGTCTCGCTTCACGGACGGCTTTCGTGCGGCCCCCCGAGAATTCGAGCGCATCCGCGCGTGCTTTCTGCCACCGCCAACATCGACGTCCTGATTGTGCTTCGACCCGTGCCGCGACCTGTTTTCCGTGGCTGCATGCCCTTGCCTACTGCCATTGTAGCCGTCTCGGAGCCGGCCGCCCTCACGCGCCGGACTGCTGGGCTCGTGCGGGTGTCCCGCCCCCCGTCTGGCCTTGTTGTCGTCCCCACCCCGTCCCCGGCTGTGATCGCCCCTTCTGTCACGGTTGTCCGCGCGGCCAAATTGATTATTTTTCACTCTCTCGTCCTCGTCCGCTGCGTCTACTCCATTTGTTCGCTGAACACTGTTTTTCCGGTTCCTCGCCTTCTTCAGCACAATGCCCGACCGCCGCGGGCGCTCCTCGTCTTCTCGGCGATCCTCGTCGTCGTTTTTCATCCGATGATTTCGATCCTCGTCTCTGTCGTCCGACGAGTGCTGTGCCTTCTTGTTCTTCTTTTTTTTCACAACGACCGCGTCCCCCGGTTCTCCGTTCGACGAGGACTTGGACCGCTTCTTGCGCTTGTTTCGCGTTATCACGACCGGCAGTGTCGCGAGCTCTGACGGCGGAATGCGCTCCCCTGCATGGGTCAATACCTTTCGCCCGTCCTCTAAAGTGACCTGAGGTATGTTGATGAAATAAGTAAGCGTACACTATCAATCAATGCCTTTCAACCCGAATATCCCAGTCTCTTTGTCTTCGTCCTGTGTCTCTGCTAGTACCAAGCCAGTATTGATTTACAACGTGTTGGTTCATCTTTTAACTTTATACACTCCCAACACAAAAAAAAAGGAAACAGTCTCCTGTACCGCAATCAGGGTGTCGCGGGGCAAAGACGGCGGTAAGACGGAATAAATCTGCTGAGTCGGCGCAACGGGGGGAGGCGCTGAGACAAAGCTGTAACCTGGCAGAGGAGTTGTAAAAAATGATTAAGTGTTTGCTTTCTATCCACAACAGAATTTTTCTCGCTACAGTGAGCATGCAGCATAGTAGAAGTAGAACTTGACGATAAATCAATGAGCATTCACTATGTATGATGAAACTTAACTGGAAATGCATGGCAAAGAGGTCCCCTCGTAAAGGAACTCGACTTGAAACGACTATAGACAAGGGGGAAGTTGGACTAAGACTAACCTTGAAATTCATCGCCAATAATTTCCGGCCTGGGTTTTCCGGTTTCTCGCATAACCTGTTCCCGAGATTTCAAGACAACCGGTCCCTTATTCTTTTTTTCGTGCCGGCCCCTGCCTCGTACCCGCATGGTGCTCTCCGGCTGTTGTTTGTATTCCATTTCTTCTGATAATTTGCTGTCTTCACTGTTCTAGTACTTCAGATCCTGACTCATAGTTTGCACGATAGACTGCCCCACCGGGAAACATTTCGTGCAAATTGTATATTGAAATTGATAAAAAATCACAATAACTGCGCTCGAAACGGCACTGTAAACGAAACAACGTGTGGTACCGAGCGTGGGCTTCTTTCACCGTCTTGTCCTTCCGCGCCAGAGGTCTTCCGCTTTCGGTCCTTCGGATCGCCAGCTTCTCCGGCTGCTGTTGAAGAAAATTAACAATATCATGATCGTAACACAAAAATAGTACATATTCGCTACGTATGATCTATGCTTCCACATTCAGATTGTAGTTTGACTTCTGTACAGCGGTACTGGTACCCCAAAGAACATTATATCAAACAGCAAAAGTGCAGAAGCATGTACTACAAGCTTTCTTGACTTGCCCCGCCCTTTTGGCCTTTGCTTCCTCGAGCCGCCTGCGCAGCATCTCCTTCTTTTCCAGACTCATGTGGGACGAGCTCGCGATTTCCCCGGGAAAATGTCTCGGGGCGCGAGCAGGTTCTTCCTCCCCATCTTGTTGTTGACCAGCGGCCGAAACGACGACATCATCTGCTGCTTTTGACTCCTTCTCAACGTCACTCGTCGCTCCACTTGCCTTCCGAGCGGACCCTGCAGCAGGCTCGTCATCCTCATCGTACTGCTCCTCCTTTTCATCTACATCCGACATTTTGTCAGCGCCCGTGGCCGCCTCCCTCCCCTCGACGACTCTGTCGTCGCCGGAGACCGCGTCATCTTTCACATGCTCCTCATTGGACGAGGAAATCAGTAGCTCATCCACGTCCGACATGATTATCTTTATTTTGCGCCTCTTCGATGATACAAATTCTTCGCCAATTTATCAGAATAGACGTTCGAGAGAAGGCGAACAAGGCCGCATAGAAGTAATCGTCCCTTTATTGAAACCAAAAAAATGAATATGAAAGTAGTTTACCAGATTGAGCTCCTATATGCCAGTCAGGATGGATTCCCGTGAAACATTAACAAACAGTGAATGTCGTGAAATGGCATCACAAGAACAAGATCGATAAAATGGTTGGTAAATAAAGTAAATGTCTAAGTCGTCAAGATCAAAGGAGCGAGGAGCCACCTGCTAGAAAACAAAGAAAAGGATGAAAACAAAATGGAGCTCGCTCTCCATCGCCAGGAGAAAACGAATCAAAAGTCGATAAAAATTCTTCCAGTTCGTGCGCCTTGCTTCAGCGGCTAGATCTCGTACTTCTTCTGCACTTTATCAGGAATTTGAAAAAGATCGCGTGGCTGCGCGTAATAGCTCCAAAGCTGCGTCAAGAGCGATCATCCTTAGCCGATCTTTTGTGATTTTTTCGAAAAGAGAAAGACCGCGTTTCAGTTTTTGGATTTCAAAGGTCAGAATGTGTGTATAGCTTTTACTGGCAGAAAGATCTTCGCAAGGGTAAGCCTGTCTCTTGTTGCCGCACATCTAAGAAAACTCCAGTGGACCAGACCGCTCCATGTTTTCATTCCACACTAATTCACAAAGACGAAAACATTGACGATACTGGGGAGTAACTTTTCGGGTACTACAGCAGAGACATCCGGAAAGTTCACACTCTCAAATGCATATGAACAATCTGTAGAACAAACATGCGACATCAAAATTTCACGCAATTATCACTTGCGTATTCAACAAGGGCGTGGCGCTCGCGCTCCGTTAAATTAATACGTAGAGAGCATATCTGAGCAGACGATTATATCAAGAATTCATTGAGTCGCAAAACATATCAGTGTGAGATGTACAAGTACAACTTAGTTGGTATATAGCAAATCCAGAACCTCCGGGATGGAAGCAGCTGCATCGGCGTCGCCTTAGTCATTCATCCATGCTTGTTGCCACGAAGGACCCCGTGCTGGAAGTGGTTATAATTGTTGGTGGATGTTGTCGCCAAAATAGGGTGGAATTCAGGATTTTGTGGTTGCTGAGCTCAATCCAACTGCCTATAGTCATTTCCTTGTTCATTCGCACTCCGCAAGCAACCACGCCATTCTTGTCCACTTTGAGAGGGTCTGCGAATTTTTAGCGTAGTTCCGGACGCAGGTAGTAGTAGTGCACGCATGCTTTGTTGTAGTTCGTTGTACACCCCGTAGGTACGTTTTTAGAGAAAACGCAACATCAGATAGTCGCCCTTGCCAAAATTCAGGTGACAAGGTTGTCGTCGTCGTGCAGCGGGAAGAATATAGCCTTAGCAAGATGAAGTGCAAGTACTTATAGAAGACAGGTCCGACATATTGTGATACGCAAAGTCATTACTTAGTCAAAGAACCTTGGATGTACAGGAAGAGCCATGAGGTATCTTCATGACAACGCCCACTTCGCTGCCGTTCATTTTTTGGTCGAGTAGAAAGAAGTATCAAATGAAGGCTTGTTTCCAGTTGTCGTTGGATATCGATATCGAGGCTTGACATTCTACGTCAATTTGATCGTTGTGCTGTTTTTCGAAGTTGTTTGTATATAGACTGTAGTTTTCTACGCGTATTGAATATTCGCTCTTCAGCACAAACTTCCGTATATAAACCAAGAAGATCCCGCGTTTTACGTTGACTAGCTCCTCGTATCTATACACAAGTAGCAGCTCCGTCGAAGGTACTCGGGAAAAGCAACAAGAAGTTGCGGAAGACGAGGGTAACAACAAGGGCGTTTTTTTCGTGTAGGAACAACGAGGAACGACTCATGGCTCCTCAAAGCTCGTCGTCGTAGGTTTGCAGAGCGCCGCGGAGCGCTGCCTCCGCCGGCAGAGCGGCTCCTTCGGTTTCGTTTGCTCGCACGCCATCAGCGTTGGTGGCAGGTGCAGACCCACCCTGCGCGGAAGGACCGTCTACTTCCTGCGCAGACGAGGCCGCTGCGCGACTAGGGGATCGCGAGCCCGACCGGAATATCCTCAGTGAAAACGTCTGCACCCCATATACAGGCTAGCTGGCAGTTTTGCTACACACGCCAAAGAGTCATCCACATCTTAGCTGTTGCGCATTCAAAACTTTGGATCAGTTGCGAAGTCCTTGTGGTTAGCTAATATTGCAGTCAAGTCTGTCTGTCTCACAAATCGATCGTTATCATCTTCTCCTGATGCCCAGACTGCATTCCAAAATGCTCTGCGTCCGCACGGGGCTGCGCATGGGCAACATTTTAGGCATGCAGATTTCTATGAGCAAATATGGGGGAAGAGACGTTTTTACTGAGGATAGGGGAACTGTCGGAACGGGAACGCGAGCTGCGTGATCGTGAACTTCTGCTAGACCGCGAACGTGACGAGCGGGAAGATTTGGACCTGGTCGACGAAAAAAGATGGAGATTTCTTATTCACGGGGGGCAAGAGGGAACTTGAGTAACAATGCTCGGATGAAGTAGTCTCGTAAAAACAAATAGCTTCTACTTGGCTACGAGAAAACTACACCGCGAAAAAGTTGCTATCCAAACGAGTTTTGCACACTAGTAAACGTCAGAAGGTAACAAGTACCTGGAGCTCGATCCGCTGCGCGCTCGACGCCGGCTGCGGGAGGAGGATGACGACCGGGAGGAGCGAGACCGAGACGAGGACCGCGAACGCGACCTGCTGTCATCGGAATTTTCATCGCCGGCGTTGCCCGCGGGCGCAAACTTGGTTCCCTGATACCAGCGGTTCCGCAGATCGGATGCTAAAAAACCCTCATAGAGCGATGCAGTCTCGAATTCAGCCGGAACCTGGTCCGTCCACACGCACGCGTGTCGCAACGAAAACTGATTTGTTTTAATCAATTAATTGATCTCGCAAGCGACATGGAAGCCGTTGGGGTCCACAACCACATCCCCACGAGAATGCCACACGTCGAGAATGGTGCATACAATAATCAACATGAACATAAAAAATATGGAAGGTCTTAAGTGGAAGCGAATGCGTCTATATTTTCTATCAGTTCTGGCGATGAGATGGAGGTTTCTCCTCACCGAGGATATCAGCCTTGGTAAGCAGTTGTATCGTCTTTATCATCATGATTCTGCAAAGTCTCATCACATTCGCGATATGATGGCATCAGGCTCGCACTGATTTTTGCTGCAACAAATACAAAACCATCAATAACCTAGTAAATCCAAATACGATGTCGGGCTTCTTCGGTAGCGTATCAGCACCCTTTTCGATGGTAACCCACTGCCCAGTTGAGATATTCTTCTTGGGAGATCGGCCCCGCCCTCGGGTTTCGAAGACATCAGCCGGTGGCGTTTCGCAGCCCGCAATAACCGGGCCGCCTCTTTGTTTGCGACTTGGCGCGGGAGCGCTTGGTGGAGGAGTTTCGCAGCCTGCCACGGTAGGCGCCTTCTTCTCCTTCACCGGGCGTTCGCGCTCTCCAAACGAGGGGGCGTTCTGACTGGCAATGCCACTCCCGCTGCTGCCGGCCGTCCCCGTTGCAACACCAAACGCCGGCCCACGAAGTTCGTTGCCGAGGGCCTCCAAATCTGCTTTGCTCGGCGGATGGAGTCCTCTTTCGCTGATAATGCCGGACAGCGGGCCGCCGAGCTTCGGCACCGGATCCGACTTGTTCGCCCCGCTCTGCACGCCACTTTTCACGCCCACACTGTTAACGCCGCCCGAGGCGGTGCCGCTGCTCTTGTTGCCAACCTTGTCTTCCGACGTGACCGCTGCCAGTTTGGGCTTTTTGTTGTCGGGAGAGCTTTCCGAACTGTCTTCGTCCATTGCGTAGGTCTTCTTCTTTTTGTTTTTACCTTCCTTCGTATCAACATCCAAGGCTTTTTTGTCTACTTTGCCATCTGCTGCAGGAGCATCCTTCTCTGCCATCGTGCCGTCCTTTGACACATCAACAGGGTCTTTTTTCTTGTCTTTGTTTTTCGAATCAGCAGCTCCTTGGCCTTCCGACTTCTCCTGGTCAAAACTGCTTTGGGCTTTCAGCTTGCCGTCGCGGTTCAGCACCTTCGAAGTCGCCAAGAGCTTTTCCCGCGTCGCGGCATCAATGCCCTTTTTCCCCTTCTTTCCCTTTCCCTTGCCCTTCACGACCACTGTGCCCTTCCCCGTGGCGGTCGTGCCCGTTGCGCCTTGCTTGCCTGCTGTCGTCACCGCAGCGCTGGTGGTGTCGCCTTTCGCCGTGGGTGGCGCCCCACCTGCTTCGGCTTTTGCGCCTGAAGGTGCGGCTCCTTTGGTTGTCGTGTTTGTTGCGGGGGCCGGAACTACGGGGTTCAATTTTGAATACACAGAAGTCGCTGCTTTCGTTGTTGCTGCGCTCCCCGCCCCGGTGGAGCTTGGCAGCTGTTGACCCGGTTTGGGCACGGAGGGCTTCGGGGTCGGGGTATTTCCAGCTTTGTTGATTGTCGATGTAGAAACAAGTGCGGTCGAAACACACGGATCTTTGCGAAAAAACTTTCCTTTGCCAATGCGCGGCACATACACGGGATCGTTCTGGGGGTCGGGACCTAACAGTCGCATTTTTTCGACAATATTCACCACGCGAGGGTTCTTCTCCCGATTGGCCAGCTTCGCCCCCTGATCCACGGCCAGCTTGTACTCCTCCGCGGAACAGAGCTTGACTCCCTCCGTGCGGGAATAATTTTCCATCCCTTTCTCGTCAAGGTTGAAAGGCGTGGGGATGTCGCCGATAAATCCGAACATGTACAGCAGCAGTTCCCTGCAATTTTTGAGAGTGCGGGATTCTTACGATAACAAAATTCCATTTCAAACATTTCTGCAAAAGTAAAAGTATAACAAAAGGAAAAGCAAAGAGACAACTACAGTGCTGACTTGGACGCTTATGCAATATGCTTGAAGGGAGATGAGACGACAGAAACATTTTACAGTACTGATGTATCGCAGTAGTACCTGTGATCTTCTAAATTCAGTGGCTTCTTCGAGACAAGAAATTGATTGACAGCTGCCGGAGCGATGCGGGTGGTCGGGGCATCGCGACGCCGCTCACGCTCGGGTTCCCTGTGGCCTCTCCGGGAACGACTCCGCCGGTGTCGCATGGAGCGCTCCCGGTCAGCAACACGGCGGTGATCCTCCCCTCGCGAGTCACGGTTGGCACGTCGATCCCGGGAACGGTCTCGGTCTCGCCGGTCTCTGGACCGCCGGCGGCCCTTTGACTGCTCGTGCACGTGGCGACCCCGGCTGCTCGGCCGATCGTCGTCCCGCGGCCGGCCACCGTGCCGGCCCGCCGGGCGCTCGTCGCCGTCCTTGCTACGGGTGCGGCGCGGGGGATTGTAGTTGTGATCGTTGTCGTGGTTGTACCGCCGGTCCTTGCTTCGGTTGTTGTACCGCCGGCCACGGGAACGGGGTCGCGGGGAGCGGTCGCCTCGGCGTGTAGTTGTACCGGCCCGGTGCTCCCGGTCGTTGGCCCGGTTGCGCGAGGCCGGCGGAAGCAAACGCGCACCCGATGGAGCTGGCTTAGCGCCGGAAGCTGCGCCGGCAATCGGCCCGAGGGCCTTGTTGGACGCTGGCCCCGGAGCAGCAGCTCCATTGGAATTTGTATCAACATTTCCCTTTGTCGTCGTCCCAGCAGCTGCAGTCTGGCGAGCGGGCTCTAGCTTCACCGGGACATGATGCTCGCCCTTCATCTTTTCGGCAGCTGGCGTTATGGAACTGGACAATAACCCAACGTCTTCTGGGGAAGAAGAAGAAGCACCAGCCGGCGCATGATTTTTAGCACTTTGCTTATTCTCCATTTTCTTACTCAAGGCCTGAATGGGCGCGTCATTTGCTGCGATCGAGCCATTACTCAACACTGGCGCGACTTTATTTGCACCCGTTGCTGATGTTGTGCCAACACGTGGTCCTTTGTCTTGTGCGGTATGCTTTTTCTCGGTTCTCTTCTTTTTCGCCTCGTGGTCTACCATGTCCTCGGCTGCGGATGCCGCTCGACTTCCGGAGGACACTTGAATGTCGGGAGCTGTCACAACTCGGCGCGGCCGGTCACCTGGGCCCGTTCGGTTACTTTCCCGCCGGTGTTGGTCCCCTCGGACTCCTCGGTCCCGGACATTATTGTGGTCCCGCTCCTTCCCTTCTGCTCGCACTCCCCCGGTCGCGCGCTCCCGTTCGCGGTCCCGATCTTCTCGGTCGCGCTTTTTTTTCCGCGGTTTTATCTTAGACAGCGACACGTCGACAAGTTCGTCCTCCTCTTCTTCTTGTTCCTGGTGATCACGCCTTGTTTTATTGATTGACGTGTTCTCCCGGGACGAAACCGCGGCAGGATTCGGAGTCAAAATCACCTTGGGTTTATTTGCCTGTTCCAGTGGTGCACCACTCTTGTTGATGTTACTGCCATTCGCGAGCACTCCGTCCGGGTCGCGCGGAGAAAGGACAGCCTTTTTCACCTGCGCAGTCCCGGCTCCAGAAGATGCGTTGTCCGTAGTACCCGACCCCGGGACACCTGTGGGCGCACCAGAAGCTGTCAGTAGTTTCGGCGGTGCCACTCCGGCGGCCGAACTTCCGTCCGCCCGCGGAGGCTCGCGTCCGGATTTTTTTCGCTGGTCAGGGCTGGATCTTCGACGCTCTCGCCGTCGATCCCGGCCAGCGCTCCGTCTCTTCTCGAGCACCACATCGCTCCGCTTGGTGAGAACGACGCCGGTGGAGCTTCCCGCAGCGCTGCTGGATGATGAAGGCATCGCCGGGACGGCAGGCGGTGCGAGACGGGTCTTTGCGGATGAGCCGCTCCGCCCTTGGGGAGGCGAAGCTGCTCGTTTATTTTTCGCCGACGCCGTTTCTTTCTCTTGGTCCCTCTTTGCAGCTCTATCTTGGTTCTTCCTTTCCTTCTCCCTCTCGAGACGCGCAGTAGTTTTGTCCTCGACACTCCGAGCAGATTTAGTATTATTCGCCGTCCCGTCGTCATCATTCTTCTTCGCAGCATCTTTGCGCGCTTTGCGCTCCTCGCGATCCGGGGAGACGGCGCGGTTTTTGTCGTCGTTCGTGTCCTATGAAATGCAAAAGTGTCTGGGTCTGGAAGAGTGTGAACTTGTCACGCAGGTTTTCCATGGCCCTTGAGGTCTGGAATGCGGGACCTAGCATGACAGAGTCTGCCAGGTCTCTTTCATGCCTATCCTGCATGAGAAACTCCCTCCCAACTTGGTCGAAAGTGGACAGCTTTTGGCAATCATGCAACACAGATCTTTGCATGATACGGATTTAGCATGAGAAGTTGCAACCTTCCAGACCCAGACATTTTTACAGTTGATATGTCCTTTTTCTTGGCGGACTTGTCGGACCCCCGCCGCTTCTCCTTCTTCTCCCTGTCTCGCTTATTCCTCTTATCGCGCCGGGAGGTGTCTTGAAACTCAAGTTCGTCATCGTGATCAACATCCATGGGATCATCTTTTTTTCCATCCTTCACGACAACCTTCGCCTGCTCCTTCTCTTTCTCTTTTTTCGAGGACGGCGTCGCGGCTTTGGTACCGGTGTTGGCTCTCTTCCTATCCTTGTCCTTGCTAGACACCTTGTTTTCCGGCTCCTGTTCCCGAGCAGTGAGCTTCTCAGCCTTATCTTTCGACGTTCCTGCTTTTGACGACAATTTATCGGCATCCTTCGGTTTATTTTGCTCTTTCTCTGCCCTAGTGGAGCCTGTGTCCTTGTGCGCGTATTTTTTGTCCTCACCTTTGTTCTTCTTAGAAGCCGTCAACATAGCCGATGACGTCGGAGCCTCCCCGCTGCCGGCTTTCGCTTTGTCACCCTGTTTATTTTTCGCGTCGTCCCGCAGCTTGGCCAGCCGTCCTCGTTCGGCTTCGTTTTCTTTTTTCGAAGCAGGTACCACGGGCTGCTTTTCGCTTTTTCCGCGCTTGCTCTTGTCCGCACCTCCCAGAGAAGAATCGCTCGCACCAGCGGCCGGGTGCTGCTGGTGCCCACTACTTCCACTACTGGTGGGTGCAGCTTGGTAGTAGTCATTAGAGGACGCAGAGTTTTTAGAGGTGTTATCTTTTCTACTGTACTCCGATAGAGTCGTTTTTCCCGTGCCGCGCTCCTGTCGATCGAAATCCCGCGTGCTGCCCCGCTGATTCTGGTACTTGTTCTGGCCACGGTCCGTCTTCGCTCCAGAGGCACTCCCGCCCGTAGGTGCAACACTGCCGGTTCGACTGTGGTCTTGCGCTCCCGTGAGTTCGTCGCGGTCACCTCTTCCGCCACGGTCGCGCTCCCGGTCGCGCGAACGCCGACGATTCGCTTCACGATCGCGGCGAGACTTTTCGTTGCGCCGCTCGCGGTCGTATTCCTCGTTACCTGATTTCGAAAGAGACCGTCTTGCAATTTCAAGGAAAAAAACTAAAAGACAAGGAAGTAGTGTGCATTCCTTTTTGCCCACCGATACCGAAACAGACGAGACCGGGAGGTTTTTTTTTTTTTTATTTATTCATTTGCGCAAGAAAAAAAATGTAAAACTATTCGGTACCAGCCCGGTCATTGTTCGTCGACTGGTGTCGCCCGCGCTCGAGGTCTCGCCCACCAGCGGTTCTTTCGCGATCTCTTTCGCGGTTTCGGTCGCGGTCTCGCTCTCTTCCACCGCGCCGACCGCTCCTGGAGCGCCGCTCATCCTCTCCTGGCGGTGGTGCGCCTTTTAAATAACGTGTGATAAATCACCCATATCAAGGTGAAAGCCGGCAAATGGTAACAGCGGTAGGGAGAAGCTAGTACGGACTACTTCGCGTACTATCATGGTTGTACATCGGGTACTACGCATCAAAAAGTTTATTTGACGTCCATTTCTTTGTGCAAATCCAAATTGCTTTGTGTTTGTTTTAGCTTTGTTGCAGACCGTCAGCTCCAGAACAAGTATTGCCCCAGTCCTATTGCTTTCATCTTGATACGTGATTGCAGCGAGTCATCATTCCTGCTGGAATCTTCTATTTCTCGTAAAAAGGTTTCTTCTGAATATTCATTCTGGTTCTTGCCCTCTAAGCCTGGTCGCGATGCTCTTCCTGTTCGTGTTCCTCCACTGAAGATACATAAGCCATGGATGTGTCACTACTGCCTCTGCAGACACAGTGTGATCTTCTCCTCCTACATCTAGTCGGCGGTTGTATTCCTGAGACACCAGAACGAGAGGGCTAGAGCTAGCGTTTTTACTCGTGTCCTGCATTCTCTGTTACAACGAACTTTTCAACTTCTGCCACATAATCGAGACATTCGTTCGGTCGATCCACGAGCATATAAAAGTCATCAAGCGATCGATTCTTCTCCTGAGATACTTACTTCACCTGTGGGAGCGGTGCGCGTGCGGTATTCTTTATTTACAAATACTGAGCGCAGGTTTTTATTCAGTGCGCTGCAAGACTTGATGAAAACTCAACGAACGTACTTAATCGTTTTCGTTGGCGCTACATAATCGAAGCTATGACTGTGGTGCGGCGGACGATGATCCTGCGAGCCATGCCTTCGGAACAGTTCTTACTTGAATTCTTTCTGGGTGAGTGCATGGCCTTTCCTCGTGTGCACGTTTTCCCCTAGGACGGCCAACAAATCGTGCGGAAATCACAAGGCCGTACGGTGCAAAGGGCCCTCAGATAATATGACGAAGTCCAATGCTTTCATCTTCTGGGGAAAAAAATGGAATCCGGGAGGCCACACCAGGATATGCAAAAGGTTTTCTCGTTACAACTACAAGAACGCTTTTCGGTGTATTCCGTTCTGAAGTCAATATCATGAGAAGAGCACAAATTGATATTCATATGTATGAAAATTATATAATCGATCAGTGTTGCTTACCGAGAACTTTGGCGCGATCGCGATCGCCTTGCTCTCATTTATAAAATGAAAAAATTAACTCCTCCTCTGGTTTTGCAGTGCTGCCGACGACGCTAATAACGCTTTGTGCGTGTGGGACTCGAATCATACTCCCGCTAGTAGGAGTCGAATACTCCCGCTACACACACAAGATCGTCAGCAGGCACTGCAAAGCAAGGGCACGAGTCCGCGAACAGATTTTCGGTCCGTACACAATCTGGTCGGCATTGGCTTGAAGCTTGCGCCCCAAATTTCTCGCCTGTGGTGAGAATGACATAAAATCAAGTTGAGGAAGCAGCGCACATCGGAAATGAAAATCGAATGAATTTTCTTGCCGCTCGAACTATTGAAGCCGCAAGCAAAGAGTAGACGCACCACCTTCAGCTGCGCGGCTCGCCTATGTCTGTGTAGGAAAAAAAAAGTCAACCACGACTGTCAAAAACAAAAAAACAGAGGAAAATATTGCAAGCGAATACCATTTGTTGGCTTTTCTTTCCGAAATGTGCTTGTGCTTTTGCAGATCGTTTTTTTTTCTCGTCATCGCTCCAAGAAGAATACATGGGCCTGACACAATACAGGGTTTTTTCGTGTCAAAAGGTAGCTGGTCACGTCCAAGGTCAAACGCAAATTGCTCCTGGTCCTGCTCCTCCTCGTGATGTCACTACTAATGAATTGGCTAGATGTGCCACGTTCTTGATGAGACCTCTGCCGAAGTCGAAGATGATCGAGAACTGCTTGTTAGAAAGTGGTGTCAGCTCCTTGTGCAAGCTCTAATGGCGTTTGTGTTACGTTGCTGGGGTCACGGCGTTTCACGCGTAACGCAATGAATCTCTGGAACTGGCGTCCCGTGCACCTGGCAAAATCCTGGCACAAAAACTCGGCTCCACCCGCTGGTTAACACTCAGTACAGTAAAATAGATCTTCGGCACGAGACATGTACGTGAAAGTGAAACGCCAAACGCAAAAGAAAATTGTTATCAGTGTATGAAAACAAGAAGCGCTGAATCGAGAGCTACGTGTTAGGGCTTGTCAAGACTACGCCGGAGCAACTTTTGATAAACTACTACTTCGACTGTAATTTACTATTTGTTTCAAGAAAAAGCTTGTGCTGCTTCTGCGCGCAAACACAAGCACAACCCGAGTCGTTCATTGCTTTGGGATTTACAGGAATGAAAAAAATCCAAAAATGCCAGCGGTCTTTTAAGTTTGTCGTTCAGGCGAGAACAACTTCCCCCGAACGGGGTGGGCTTGCTAATGCCCATTTTTGTCGTGCAAGAAAAAAAGCCGCTCTTCACTTCTTTTCAGGTTCGCAAGATAAAAATAACATCGTAAAATCGCTGTCGTTCGTTTGCGCGGGCGAAAAATAAATTGAAATTAGTGATCACGGGAGCGTATAGAGTGACCATATTGGTTTCCATGTGCTATTGAAAACATTTCAATTTTCGCAACATCTTCACTTGCTTTGGATTTGCATTTGGATTTGCGTCGTTTTTGGCCTTGCATTAGCATTTGTAAATGACCAAAATAATGCCGACTTCGGCGACTACTTACATCACTATTTGAACGGTCTGCATTTTTGCTTCATAAGTCATGCAATTTTCAAAGCAAAAGCACAAAAAGACATCAGCTGCAGCTCGGTCTACGGGCTGTTCTTGAAGGAGATTTTGTTTCCGATCCATGACCATAAAGTATTTTAGTTTTACCTGGCTCCATTACACGGTCCGGTGAAATTGGTGGAAAATTATGCGTGTAAGAAGCTGCACACAAAGGTACACCAAAAACACGTTGATGCCGCGGGACGTAAAGTTTCTTTTCAGGATCTGGAACTCTGCCTCGCAATAGAAGCAGTTCGCTGGTAATTTTTTCAGGAACACGCACCGACTTCCGTCGTTCCTGTCCTCCTGCGGTGGGACCATCTAGTTCCCCCTGTTGTACTTTCCTCCAGAAAATATCTTCTGTGCTGACCTTCTTAAGTAATGTCGCCACTCGCTGGTGTATCAATCTAGCACCGCAACATGAACGGTCGCTGAACAGTGTATTTCAACCTGTATTCTTTTCCTGGGGTTCCAAAAACAATAGAATCGCATTGGAGATGTGCGTTTCGCAGCTCGTCTACATGTCGAATGCTCGTTGTATAGCACAGACACGTCCTTTGCCGCAGACGTTTGCTATATTCTCTAGTGTTAGTGTCACTTTTACGCTAATTGAACCACATTGGTTGATCGACGGGTTGATTTATGTTGAGCCTACGACCGCCTGTGGCAAATCATTTGAGGCTCTCAAACTGTCGCATATATTTTTGTTGCCCGTTGGCGTTGCCTAAATTAAGTACTTGGTATCATTTTACTTAATTGGGGACTTTATGATTTCTTTCGTCCTATTGGGGTAGAGCTGCCGTGAGCCATCTACAGTCCCACTCATCGCTAGAAAAAGTATTGGTACTGAATGACAAATCGTAGCAACATGCTTCTCGAAATATCCTTGTCGTGTCTGTATGCGAATTATGGTGGATGCGAATTGATATATTCATACGTAAGGAAGCAAAACGGCTGTCGTGCCTAGCTGTTTCTAATTTTTTGGACCTGCCAATTTGGGTCCTCGCGGTCATGTAAGAATAGATTCTCCAAGAAGCTTCCTTATGTGTCAGGTGTCAGTAAGCCGAGAATCTACTATGGGGCTCGATGTATTTGGGATGTACTTAACTAAATTCATGACGCAACTCAACCGTGCTTCGTTGCGCTCTCCTTCGCAGTCGTACTGGGAGAGAAAACTGAGCACTCGTCGTGGATCATTGTCATTCACTACTCCTGGAATTATTATACCGCCCGGATGGGACAGAGCGGCGGCCGCCCGGCAGGAGCAAGTGCGTCACCCGCACCCGCTCGCCCGGCGGGGCGATTTGGTAGTAGTCGTCCAGGATCTCTCGCGCCTGCTGCCGGGCTTCCATCTCTCGGTCGTGGAAGTCCTCCTTGAGCATACTCCACGTGACGTGTTGACGGTACTTGACGAAGTGGTTTAGTCCCTCGCCCAGGCCGTCGTAAATGGCGCCGGTGGCAATCCCGAACATGCCCACGCCTGCGACGCAGTAAAAAATGCACAAAATCTTGCCCGGTACCTGGAAGTCACACACGAACCACTCGGACAACAGGAAGATGCTCCCGCCATAGATCCCGCTCCACAGGCTGTCAAACTCATTCTGGAACTGCCGCTCGCACAACCACCACAGCGTACCCCCAATCAGAAACACAAACAAAGCCAAAATGCCCGCGTTCGCCATCAATTGCTGGGTTGCGAGATGCCCGCTCACGTGCAGTGACCAGTCCGCGAAAAATAACGCGTGCAAAAGTCGCCAAATGTGAAGCGCAAGTAGAAAGTTAGGAACTCGATCCTGTTGTGTATTTTTGAAACAACTCAAAGACAGAATTGTTGTATATTCAAATCCCACAAAGGACAATCGATCCATGCGGTCGCAAAAGTATAATTACATCCTGCCTGAGAAAAGTTCTAAAGGACAACCATTTTCAGCGAAGATGTTGATGAACAGCAGGTCACTGCCTAGTAGAAGTACTAATAAACTACGCATTGTATAGTACCCATATGACAGCCTCCATCCAGTCCTCGACGGGCACGGAGGGCTCACCGCGACTCGGTCCCACCACGTTTTTCGTGGGCTTCATGAACGGCGGCCCCGCGAGGGTGGTGTTGCTGTCGTAGTTGCGGACAGCTGCGTACACCGCGAGGTTGCAAGCAACCCACGTGACGATCAGGCCGAGATCCAGCAGGCTGGCCACTTTTTTGAACATTCGCCAGGGCGAGAAATTCAGCTGGGGCATGGAGCGCGCCGCGACGAGTCGGAGGAGGTACTCAACGAGGAAAAAGCATTGGCACACGAGACTCAACCCCCACAAACTCTTATCCAACAAAAAAACTGTGTTAGTGTAGGTGTCAGTGTCTTAGGGTGACGGCATGACAAATCTGTTCTGCATGACAGACAAAGCCTGTCATGCGCAGCTGCTAGTAAGTAAGTGAAAACAGAAATGAAATAGGACTTCATGGTTGCCTAGCATGACAAGTGTAACAATGTTGCATGCTTTGCATCACAGACTTACACTTACACAGTTTTTCTCTTGCATACCCCTGAGCCGTCTGCCGGAACGAGCCGTGATCATCGGGGTCGACCCACTGAAGGATCCGCGTCGACAGGACAATTCCAAGCAGGGCCGCGGTTCCATGGATCACAATCATGAACCATTGGAAATAATATCCGAAACGTGTTACCTGCCAAGGCCGAGTCGACACCAGTGACAGACACCAATCGGAAAACCTGGTTTCGTTTTTCATACTAATGATCGGAGCAGAAGTCGGACTTCAACTTCATGAGGAGTGCCATTGTATGCATCAAGTATATTTTCAAGCAGTGACAGCACGAAAGTTGGTACAACAAACCGCCCAAAGGTGCTGGACTACCAAATTGAAATCAAACCAGAGGAAGAACTGAAAATCTTGTAGCGTACTTCTCAAAACATGTCGGCTGTGCGGACTGCACCAGGTCCTTGTTTTCCCGCGCAGCTTGGATAAGTTTGCGAAACCTTATTCGCGCCAAAACGCCCCGGAAATGCCTCTGCACACGAACGGCCGCAAATCGCCGCGCCAGATGCATGGTTGCGGCCCGCGTGAGTTTGAGTTGCTGTGCGTAGACCGCAACGAAGAGACCCGTCGGAACCGCCAAAAAACCCGCCGCCGCAGCCATGAGAATGAAATGCAGGATACGGCCAACGTTTGTGTATTCTGTGATGGGGTAGTCGCCGGTTAGATGGATCATGATGTATTGAAAGGAGTTTAAAATGGTGTAAAACCGGGAGTAGTTCACGGGGCGCAGCAGCGTGCGCCAGTGCCCCTCGCTGTCTAGGCCCTCGATGGTGCGCCACGTTGACATTTTTCCCGGGTCCTTCTGCGTCCCAAAGTTGTCCCGCTCCGACAGGTGAAACAAGGCACTCGCAAACAGCCACACAATCAGCACGATGTAGCTTGCCTGCATCATTTCGCGCTTATACCTGTTTTTTATTTCTCGCCGATGTTTTGCAGCTCTTTACGAAAGCAGTTCCTCACTTACGGCGGGGCTCTTACAATTTCAGAATGTTCCAAAAAGCGCATGATCTCTTCCTAGTTTCTTGTTCCGTGTGACAACAACATAGAAACAACCATATTGAAGACAACTCGATGATTATTCGCGTACTTGCCTCTCTTTTCTCTGCTGCATCTACTGAATTTATTCCCTTTCAAGTAAGTAAAAAAAATTGGAATTTGACATTGGAGCCAATAACCTTACATCACAAATTCAAAAAATTGACGAAACTTTATGAACTCGATCATCTGGCGTACCTGACGACACTGTCGTAGACCATACGGATGCTGGGATACAAATTGTCGAGGTAGCCGACCATGCACATGCGGAGCGACAGCGCGGTCAGCATCGCGTACCGTGCGGCGGTGCCGGGTGCCGAGTAGATCAAGTCTGCGTACACGTTGAAAAACTCGTCGTGTTCCGCAACGAAGCGGATGACCAGAGTCATGGCGAGGCCGACCAGCCCGGAGAGGTGGCAGATCCCGGCGACCCCGCTGAGATACCAGGTTTTCTTCGCGGACGACAGAAGGATCAACATGTAGTCGATGAGAAAAACCCCGAATATCAGCAAGTCGACCGCGTACAACCAGTTCGGCAAGTGCTCGTAGTCCTGCCCGAAAAGCCCCACTCGGAGCCGCTCCAGCACACCCGGCGCCGGCAGCTGGTAGCCCGGCGCGGCGGTGTCGGACGAGCCACCAATGCCGAGAAAGGCCTCGTACCCCGCAATGTAGGCGTCCATCTCGTGCAGCGCCTGCTCCCGGCTCACCAGCCGCCCGCCGTAGAACTTCTGGCGGTCGGGCCACTCGCGGGCGGCGTCGTTTCGCACTGCGTCGAAGCTCTCGGCCGCCAGGCTGTCCGCGTTGGTGGCGTCCGACCGCGTCACGTCGTCCGCGTTGTACTCCTGGGAGATCTGCTTGCAAAGCTTCTCGGCCTCCTGCTCGATCCAGTCCAGAAAATCTTGCGGACTCTGCGGGAAGTCCGCGGCCCGCTTCCGCTCCACCTGGTCCGCGGACAGGAAGGAAACCCAAACCGGCACCGTCAGGTGGGTGTGGTCGGTGTCCGCCGGCCCCGTCTCGGGGTCGTCGGAGTCGTTGTCGTCCCCACTGTCGTCCGCGCTGCAGGCCACCAGCAGCTGCCGCTTGCTGACGAAGTACCGCACGAGATAGCGCTGCAGGAAGCTGTGATCGGGCGGCCGGTACTGCGTCTCGTAGGACGCAGGGAAGGCGCGAAACAGCCGGGGCGGTGGGGGGACCACGCCGCCCGTATCCGGATCGAGTTCCGGCTGCGCGAAGGCCGCGTCGGGGTAGTACAGCGCCTGCTCAGTCTCTTGAGTCACAGTCCACTCCTGCGCGTCCGGTTGGGGGGTGAGCGTGATCTTCATTCGCAAGTTGTTGTGGTAGCTCAGGACCATGAGGGTGGTACCGTGCTCGGTTTTGTCGATACGTTCGCCCGCGGCGGACCGCATGCCCAGCCGCCGCAGCCGGTCTTCGAGGTACGCTCGCCAGTCCTCGAGCTGCTGGAAATTGTGCAGCGCGCAAAAGTGGTGCGTGGAGTAGTACACGGTGTTGAAGAACAACAGAGGTAACAGCAGCATCGTGAGGGTTTTGCGCAGCTTCGCCCAAAACCGCTCCGCCGGACTGGCCAACAACACGTGATCTGGTGACCAAATGACACGATGCACCCCCGCCCACTCTTCGCTTGCGGCCGGGTAAATGCGCTCGCGCCGCTGCTCCTCTTCGAGCATGCGGCGTCGCAGCCCCATCGCCAGGGGGGAGGAGGAGGAGGGCGGCGCTCCGGTTGTCGTAGAAGTTGCGCCGGTCTTGATTTCGTCGTCGTTGTGTCTTTGTTCCACCACCGTGGCGCTATCACTTGGAAAGCAGCCCTTCCAGTCCTGACACAGGTCTTCCACGGTCACCTCCGCAGCAAACGCGCTGCCCTGCGAGGACCGGGACAGGGGCGCCGGCACGTACAGATCCTCGGAGGCAACACTCATGGCCAGCTGCGCAGTTTTCTTTCGCACAAACATTTTCGACTTTGTTCCGTCCGCTCTTATGATTCCCTTCACGGGTTGTTCTGTTACGCTCTTCCGGTTGCGCAGAGTCGTGGCCACTGGACCACCAGGCTCGAGTTGTTCGTCCAGTAGCAGAGGACTCCCCTCCTCGCCATTTTCATCTTGCGCGTGCACCCACCCGTCCGGCTCCAAGGTAGAGGCCGGCGGCGTGGCGTGCCCGGCGGAGCGCCGGCTGTAGAGCTCCTTCTTTTCGTGCCGCTCCGCGTCAACATTGCTGCTGGCCGAGGTTGCGGTTCGCGAGATCGGCTCCTCTTTCACCGATTCGAATGTCTTACCGCGCATGAACGCGGCACGGTCGCGCTTGTTCTCCCCCCCGCGCCGGTGATCCGAGTCCAGCTCCGATGACGCGGAGAAACTGGTTTGCGTCTGCGTGCGCTTCGACAGACTCGAGAACGCGCGCCGCACAGACGACAGCCCGGTCTGCGGTGCGCGGCTCAGCTGCTTGCCGGACTTCTTCGTTTCGTCGTCGGCGAGGAAATCCTCATAGTCCAGAGGGTCGTCGATATGCTTGTTGCCCCCGTCTGGCGACGAGTCGTTGTTCTTGCTGGGCGCGCCGGCGCCCACGTGGTCAAGGAAGTCGTCGCTGTCGCTGTCGCCGTCCTCCGAGTTGCCCGCGTGGTCTCCACCCTCCGGCTTGGGCGGCGGCGGGTTCTGGATCTGGCCCAGGTATTTGTGGTATGCGTTGGCGAACAACCCGCAGGGAACGGCAAAAAACGGGACGGCCAGGAGCATCATGTACACATGAACCACGCGACCCTTGTACGTGTAGTCGGACCACGGCGACTCGCCGTTTACCGTCAGGACCACCGCCCACAGCGATCGAGGAAACGACCAGACTTGTCGCCGCATTTCGTTGTCCGGGTTATTCACTTCCGTGATGTGGAGAACGACGCTCAGAGTGAGCATCAGGCTGAAGATCACCACCAGAAAAAACTCGTACAGTCCCAGCGCTTGCCCCAGGATTTTGCGGATACTGGAAAACCCATGCAGCAACCGCTCCATTTTCAGGGCCCGGAAACACACGAACCAATACACGTTCCAGATCCTGTATTGTATATGGAAAAAAGATAAAGAAATTCCCCCGGAACAGTAAATAACAACCTCCCAGTGATCAATCAATCAATCAATATACACTGCACGGCCTTATGCTATAACACGAGCGAAAACTTGCGAAATCTCTCATGTTAAGAGCGCGAATCCGTGTGAGGGCCCGACATTTCACCTATCAACTACCACGCTGTAGCCGATATGTCCCGAAGGACCGGGCTCCGAAGAGCACTGGGGTAATTTGTCAGGGGCTGATCCGTCGCTTGGAATCAATGGGGGCGATCATCTCCTAGTGTGAATCAATGGGGGCGATCTCATCCTAGTGTGGAAACGAGGGATTTGCATGCAAGATTTCGGATAAACCTGCGACCGAGCATGGGGGGCATATCAATCAATAGTGCATCTGGGAATGCGCGATCATCTATCTGTATCTTGAACACAGTGCCCAACAGTAATATTAACGTCAACTGAGTTCTTGTTCATGTTACACAGGTGGAAAACTACGTAGTCGTTGTATTCAATCAAAATAAAGTAATCACTGCATAATTCGTACCAGTCTTGCGTGAGATCTATGCAGCCGTACTTGTGGCCGTCGGTGTCGCACTTGTTGTCGAGAGTGGACTGGTAGGCGAAGATGATGAGCATGACGCAGGAGGGCAGCCAGGCAATAAGGTCCACGATTCCCCAGATATGGAACTGTCAGGATCGAAATCGACAAAATCGAAATACTTTGTGATGCATAAAATCGATACCAGGTGGGGCCGCAGTTTCCAAGTGGCCCATGACAAATTTCGGGAGCACCAAAATCCAGTCTGTCATGCTGTTTGGGCAAAGAAGACGGCTCCTCTCATGCTACTCTGGCAGCACATTCCATACCCCTAAACAGGCTTGCAATCGGCCTCATTTGCCTGCTCCCTAACACAGGCCTTACGTGCCCTACGTTTTATGCATTACAAATTGGTCGATTTTGTCGATTTCGATCCTGACACTCTCATACCAAACGGTGAAGGGGTAGGGACGACTGGTGTCAATCTCGTACCGGATTTTTTTTGCTCCGATCCGGCGCTGCACCTTGTGACTGATCCACCGCTCGTGCCAGTTGTTGTCCACCAGGCGGACGAGGTACTCGAGGAGAAAAAAGAGCATGCACACCGTTTCTAGAACCAGCAGGGTGTTAAACGCAACGTAGTAGTCGCCGTGCAGGTAGTTGGGGCTCTCGTCTGCTTCCTCTCGCCCGGGCGCGCCGGTCAAATCTAGCGGCGTCGTCGCACTGGAGGTCGCCGTCACGCTGAACGTGGAGTACCGCTGGCTCCGGTCGATGCGCCCGCACAAGTAATTCCAGTCCCAGTAGCTGCACGGCTGGAACGCCACCGAGGTGTCCTGGTCGTACACGAAGAGGGCGTAACCCTGGTAGTAGTCAAACACAATGTAGACCAGGATGGAGCACATTCCCACCGAGGCGCTTGCGTACAAACAACTGCGCCGAATCAGTAGGCTCCCCTGTTTAGTTCGTTGTGAGACAAGTAATGAATGTTGTCACAGAGATTGATACTGACTTACATTCCCGACGTTCCTTCGGAAGCCAATTATCAATATGCTTCCACTGTGTCCGTAGGAGCGCTCGCGGCGCCGGGCATGAGAAGTAAAAAAACGGGACGAACAGCTCGAGCTGGACCCGTAGGTAATAATCAAGTACGTAAAGTTCGACTTTAGCGGAAACCACGAACGCAACAGCAGTACGCGTCGAAGGCTCATCAACACTGCAAAAGATTTTCAAAAGACATGCTATGTATCAAGAATCTCCACGGAAATAAAAACTCAATAAAAAACCATGCAGAATCGGCAATTGTACCAGCAGCTTCCAGAAACCAGGGCGAAACTCGATTCCGTCGATAAAATCGTCTTCCAGCGGATCCGAGAGGCCAACGTGCTCCCGCTGCTTGTCCAGTTCGTCAAGCCGCTCCTGCTGGTCCAGAATCGTCTCGGTTTCCATGCGCTTAAACATCCCACGCTTGCTACCGGTCGCCGGTTTATTGCTGGGATCCACGCCAGCTTGGGACTCCAAATCGACATCGGACAACAGTTCAGCTTCATCATTTTCCAAATCGTACTTGAGGAAACTCTCCCTTTCGCGTGGTCGTGAAGAAGATGACTTAATACTGCCCCGCGCGCTCGAGCTTGCACGATCCGTTGGCTCCACCTTGCTGCTTCTGGTTGTACTTTTGCTTTCCCGGTTAGCAGCTGCCCGGGCGGATTGCTCTTCGTCCTCCAGGCTTTGTCGCAGTTGATCTGCTTGCGTCTCCTCGAGCGTTTCTTGCAGCGCCTTGCTGAAGATGCCGACGGGAATCGTGAGAATTAAAACGCCGACGAACACGCTCATCAGGGCCCAGAACCGACTCCAGAAGGTCAGGTGGTCGGTGCCGAGCGGGAATTCCCCGTTGAAGTTGACGAAGACGTGGTACATGGCGTCCCCGATGGACGAGAACGCGGTCTCCCGGAGGTTGGCCGCCTCCTTGGAGGGCTGGAGCCCCGACCCGTTTTCCTGGTCGTTGCCGATGCCCGGGAGCATCTCCCGGTTCACCGGGGTCAGCCAATACCCGCCCCCGATGGTGACCCACGCGCCAAGCATCAGCAGCAGCGCGTACGCGTAGGGCCGGGCAATGATGACGTACACGCGCAGCAGGAGCTTCGCGCTGTGGCGACGCAGCACGAGATAGCAGTCGGCCACGTCGAACGCGAGAAAGAGAAAGTACCCCGGCATGATCTCCTTGGTGCCGTAGATGAGGTGGCTCCCGTAGAAGTCCTCGGCGGTCCGGTGCAGCGCCAAGTACGTGAAAAACACCCCCGGGAGGACCAACAGCAGCTCCAGCCACGCGGTCCAGTGCTTCAGAAAGTAGCTGCAGGCGCCCTTGGGGTACACCTCCGGGTCTACGTGGTAGGCGGTGAGCAGGCGCACGAGGAAGCGGAGTGCCAGTACGGCGAAGGTGACCAGGTGCAGCCACTTCCAGACCAGCCGCAGGGAGAAAAGAGAGTCCCACGTGGGGCGGCTCACGCGGGCAGAGTTGTCCTCGGTGGCACCCAGAAAAAAGCGGCGGTACTTCTGCCGCAGCATGTACAGGTCGAGCTCGAACCGCGAAACCACCACGCGGTGGTCGACAGGAATCACCACGTTGTCCGGGTCCTCCTGGCAAAACCGGGACTGCGCGAGCAGCTGCAGCGCCACCGGCTTCGGGTCCACGTTCAGCCACCACGCGACGCAGCCCGGCGGCGGTTCGGAGGAGTTCAGCGACCCGTCAAATTCCGGGTCCTCTTCATCGTCCGGCAGCTGCAGGAGGGACTCCCTACCGACCTTTGCCTGCGCTGCGGTTGCGCGAGACCGGAATCCGGCAGCGAGGACACTGGAGGTGGAGGAGGTGATCCTATTATTTCTCATCTGCTGCTCAGCTGCTGAGGCACTAGGTGTTGATCCAGCGACGTTTACGTCGACCGCGCCCTCCTCCGTCACTCCCGCGTTCGCCACGTCGTCGTCCACCATTTCAGGTATATCGGGAGACAAAAAGCCCGCCTCGTTCTTTCTTCTTCTTCTCGACTGGGCGCCGGCACCATCGGGGTTCAGTTCAGTAGCAGTCTCAGCCTCTGGTGCATCTGGAGTAGTGTGAAACTCAAAATCGTCCGCCGGTGGAGTTGTACCAGAATTGGCATTGGAATGCCTTTGCAGGAACGAAGCCATCTCCCCGTTCTTGGGGGGAAGCGCCGGGACCTGGAACGGGTCGTCTTTGTCCGCTTTTATGACGCACTTGACGTATTCGCCTCTCTCTTTGAGCCACACAAATGTCCAGGCGTTGCTGTCGTGCACCTTGTCCAGGAAGTCCGAGTCCGTCAAGCTCCAGGGTTGGGACCCGGGCACAGCACGGATGCTGATGAGCGCGGCTCGCACCGCATCCTCGAAGGCATCCAGGCAGAGCTCGTACAGGTTCTCGGGGCTCATGCCGCGGTACGAAAACAAGTCCACCCGTATTGCCGTCGCGGGGGCGTTTTGCAACGGGTTGTTGGACATAAAGTTCCCGTTCTGCACCGCGACGAAGTACCCGAGCCACTGTTGTCGCAGCCGGGCCGGAAGCTGCGGGTCGTCGGCGGTCACCACGTCGGTCTGTCCTTTCCCGGCCGCCGTGACCCAGGCCGACTCGTCCAGCCACTGGTTTGACGCACCTGAAATCGTCTTCGACGTGGTCTGTATACGACAGAAAAAAGCAGGCAGGACGGATTCTTTAGTAGCATACAAAAACAAATACGTCGAAAAATCTGCATCGCATATCGCAAACAGCATGCTCAAATAGTGTCGCCTATTGCGGATTTCTCTGTGATCATGTAGATACTTTTGCATAAACAAGCATGCCCGGCCTGCTTTTTCCTGTGGGGTACTCTGGTGGTAGTGCAGATTCTCGCGGGGGCCCCGCTCGTCGGGGAGCTCTACCCCCACCACGCCGGTACGCTTCGCTCGAATCTCGTCGATGGTCGGAATTTTCGGCTGGGCTTCCGGTGCTCGTGGTGCCGTCTTCGGAGCCGCCGTTTCTTGTGCGGGCGGCGGCGGCGGTAACCCGCCTCCGCAAGGCCCCTGCCGGCGCGGTGCCCAGTCGGAGTCGCACCAGTTGCTGCTCAGATACATCTCGAGTACGCGGGCACCGTCCATCCGGCGCTGAATCCACTCCTTGAGCATTTGCTGCAGAATTGAGGAGTGCGAAACCAAACCCTCGGTGCCGTCGTTTTGCCGAACGAACACCCCGCGCACCGTTTGCGAAGACACCCACGCAAAGTCCCGCACCAGCGTGAGCGGCTCCGTCTCGCCGTCGTTGGGCTGGAAAATGGGAATGGCACTCACGTCCACCTTCTGTGGCGGCAGGGACCGCAGTTGAGCCGCCACGTAGCGACTGGCCACATTCACTTTGGCCACATCGACATCGCCCATGTCCGTCAGTTTCTGTTCGGCGAGGTCAAACCAGGTCGCCGGGGAGTCGTCTTTGCTCACCCGCGGCCAGGTGGCGCGGCCCAGATCTTCCAGTTTGTGCATCATGTCTAAGAACGTCTCCCGGGAGAGGGCGCTCTGTTCCGACAGCATGAAATACACACACAGATTCGCGAACAGCAACCCGACCGTGACGACGAGGAGCGTGCCGGTGGCCCAGTTTCGCTCGTGCACACTCGGTATGGATTGCAAATATGTCTGGGTCTGGAAGGTGGTAACTTGTCATGGTAAATCTAAAGCATACAAAAATCTGTATTGCATGAGTGCCAAAAGCTGTCCACTTTCGACCAAGTTAGGAGAGAGTTTCTCATGCAGGATAGGCATGGCGGAGACCTCGCAGAGTCTGTCATGCTAAGTCCCGCATTCCAGACCTCATTGGTCATGGAAAATCTGCATCACAAGTTTACACGCTTCCAGACCCAGACATTTTTACATTTGATACTCGGGCGCAAAAACACACACTGCCCTAGCGTCCGCAAACAGGAGCTGGTCCGGGCGGGGCCACCTCGTGCATTATTTCTAGAAGTGGTCTTTGTAGTGTTCTTACCGTCCTCGCCGTCTTCCGAACTGGTCGGCGTTTGTACGTCGCCGTCTTCGCTTTCATCGGAGGTTTTTCGGTTCTTTTTTACCTCTCCACCACTGGGGCGCGGACTCTGCTGCTCCACCACTGGGTACGCTGGTAGGATCTGCTGCTCGTTGTCCGAAAGAAACGTCTCGCGCCCGCTGTGTTCGGCACTTTGCTCGTCTAGTGGTCGGGCTGTGATACCGTGGCCATACAGTGCCCAGTGAATGAGGAGCAGGAGCACCGCAAAAAGCGCGAAGGTGACGCCCAGCCAATAGAGCTCGTACCACAGCAAGTCGGAGAGGCTTAGCTGGGTGGCTGGCCACGGCTGCTCCCCGAGGAAGGACTGCAGGCCCACCGTCCATGGGTTGCGCCACCACCATTTCTCGCCCAGCAGGTAGAAGCCTCGGTCGTAACTCATAGTGGTTGCGTTCGTGCGAGCCTCCCCCGCTGTCCCGGCAACAGTGGTCTACTACCCTAGACGGTCCCGAAACGGATAATCCGTTTGGAAGCCAAACCGATTACGTTATGCACAGAACGCGAGTTGCTGGCGGTCGGGGTCCGCCATGGCGGCGCCGATAGTGGTCTGCTGGGTTGTTGTCTTTCGCTTTCCAATTGCTGGTCTGGAGGTAGCGCAAGCGGCCAAAAAACGTCCGCAAAGATTGATTTTTGCCGGCGAAAAGAACTGGGACAATCTCGACCATCAAAAAATTAGTACATCTTACAAATCTTGGCCGACATCTCGTCCCTATCGCTCCTTTCTATCGACAATGTTCGAAGAGAGAAACCAGGCGAAAATTTACACAGAAGCGGATAAGTGAGCATATGCTCCACAAGTGAACCAAGTAGAAGAAGTACCTCTACGACAAAAAATCATACATCTAGATCTAGAAAATGAAAATACGAAAAAAAAAAAATACAATGCACCTAATAATAGCTTAGGTTTTGGCTTGCTATTTCTAAAAAAAAACAGAAAGTAACGAAACCACAAAGTTTCTGCCGCAAAAAAAGTCGGATATCTTCCCTATGCTTCGAAATTGATTACAAAGCGTACACGTAAAAAGCGTGGACACTGAATCTGAGCAGATGATAAATAAATCGCTGCTCAGACAGGCCACGAGTACAAAAAAACTTTGTAGATCGCTGTAACAAAAGTCAAATGAAATATACCTATTTGAAATTCTGCAAAGGCTCTTTAGCAAAACAGATGGATCATCGTAGGCGACATTTTTCTCGCCTTCAGTCGTTCCCAGGTGAGTCTGCGGTTTCTGTTTGTCATTTGTCTCACAGTCATACCTAAGATCGATGAAAAGGATTTGGAATTTTCATACAGTGCGGGACTCATAAGGAGCGACACTAAGCACATACTTTACAATTGCAGAGCCAAAAGGAAATTTTCATTCGACACCCATTTGATTTCATAGGAAATCAATGTTTCAGATCTCGTCATACATCTGGCAGATCTTGAGGTCCTGTAAAAACACAAAAAAAACATTCGTTTAAAATATTTATGGAATGCATTATGATTAGACAGGAGATAAGTCGAACCTAGCATTTACATCAGGTAAAGCAACATCTCCAAATGGAAATGCTCTACTGATGAGAGAAAAGTGAAAACATGCGCCGATGCACGTGGTGCAATCAACAGAAATTTACTGACAAATTCGGGCTGAAACAGAAGGCGCTCGTGCATACCGATTACAGAGTCCGAAAAAGGTTCCATATTACCAGCTACTACCTTGGATTCAAGTACTTCGATTTCAGTTTTGGCAATGCTTAGAATTGAGTTGCCGATATGGAATGTTTGTTCACCGAGTATTTTCGTTGCAATGCGATTTGTATGAGTATGAAGGAGCTTTGCTGGCCACAAAAGGCAACATGTCGTGCCGTTGCGTAATCAACAGTTAAATTTACCGACGGACGCCGCGCCAGGGCCAAGCAGAGACAAAATGCAAAAATAAGTAAATCCCAGGAAGCGAGCTCAGGCGAAAGCACGTTTTCGTGATGTAGCGGAAGTAAACTGCTGGCACAAACTGCAAAGGCCTCGTCGAACCGAAGGAGCACTCGCAGGTGTAAAACCGAACAAATGCGCCAAAGAAAATTACCCACATCATTGGCTTCTTTCATGTCTCAGTTATTGTTATGCTCGTGCGCAAAGAAGATAATTGGTTGCATATCATCTAGGAGTATCATGTTCAGATGAATCAGTGGCAAAAATCAATTTGGAAATTCAAATTTTCGCTTTCACAGTTCTGCGGCATCAGCAGTCGTCTCCAAAGCAGCTTTCAAGAGGCCCTGTTTCACAATCCGCTCGCGAACGCGTTCGTTTTTTTCTTCTAAACTCGAGGAGGACCATGGCGGAGCACCATCTGCTGGCGATTTGGTGGCGAACCAGCGCTGAAAGGTTCGGTCCATGTTCTCGTAGACGAAGTCACCGTTGTCGTTTCGGAGAATTTTCTGCACCAGGAAGTCCATTTCTGCCTCAAATTGCTTCGCCGACGCGAACTTCAGTTCTTTTTTCGCCTTGCACGTGTTTGCCAGTGTGCCCTTGAGGTCGTTGCGCCTGGCCGGCAAAAACCTCCGGGTTTCGCCGGGCGCCACGATTTCGGCGGCGTCCAGAATGGTATGCGTGCGTCCACTGCCGATGTTTATGGAGGTCCCGCGCACGCTGGGGTTCTCCAACGCCAGGAGGCAGGCCCGGCCCACGTCCTCCACGTGCACAAAGTCGCGGTACTGCATTCCGTCGCCCTCGATGGTCAGTGGCATTTATCAAAATTAGAAATAATCCCTCTGCCCTTATTCAAACGCGAGATTTCATCTGTTGCTGCCTTTGCGTGCACAAATCAGCTCTGTCTTGCAGTAAGCGATTGCAGCCAGATCCGCAGCCTAGGTTCTATGGGCGCTTGGGTCGAGGTGTGTAATAATGGCAGACACCTGCGACGCTGACACAGGCTCCACAGCATGAGAAATCGCCTCCAGAATGCGGCGGAGATTTCTGGAGTTGCTTTCTTGCAAGATGACAGTAGAGCTGATTTGTTTTTGTGTCAACAGTAAAACCTCCCTCTTGAAAATATGAGGAGGGGAGGACGTTTTTCCTCACCATAGCGTGCCTGCCTTCTTGAGTTCCGCGAAAATCCCGGTCACCACCGCGTAGCCGCCCTTCCGCGGGTTCCGCGGGCCGTACACCATGAAAAAGCGCAGGTTCACGGTGGGCACTTGGTGGATCTCGTCAAACGTGTTCATCTGCAACTCACCCATGTACTTGGACGCCGCGTAGGGGCTGGACACGGAGAACAGCATATTTTCTTCAAACGCACCAATGTCGTCCGCTGACTGCCGCCCGTAGTAAGTGGACGACCCCGCGTACACGATTTTCTTGAATCTGTAAAGATTATCATCCATTTGATTGCTCCGGTGGTTCTCATCTGTGGTGTGCTTTTTTCTCCACTCTTCCTGTCTGAGAATTACTTTTCTCACCACTTCCAGCAGGTTCGCGGTCCCGAGGGCGTTATTTTTCACGTTGAAGGTGGCCATCTTTGGGTCGATCAAGGACGGGAGAACTTTCGAAGCCGCAGCCAAGTGAAAAACACCGACTATGTCGGGCGGAGGTCGCGGCCGTGCGGCGTCGTCATCGCCTGGCCGCGCCGCGTCGTCTTCAGCTACGCCGAAGACCTTTTCCAGCAGCGGCAAGTCTAGTATGTCCCCGAAGTGGAACTGGAGCCGTTCAGGCTGACTGATCAAGTCCAAGTACAGGATGTTCCCCGTTTCCAAGTTATCCAGTACGCGTATCTTATAGTTTGTCCTTTTCAGCAGCAGCTCGACCAGATTCGACCCAATGAACCCGGACCCACCAGTGACGACAACGGTTCCGCTCGTGTTCTCCAGGATGCCATTGACTTCGTTATCTCCTGCTGATGTCGGGTCCACTTCCAAGTCCCCGCAGGGATCCGTGGCACGACCATGCACCACCTGGTTGAGTCGTAGCAAAAGGAAGGGCCAACACCGCAGACAAAAGGCGACCATGAGTTTTCGTGACGAGAGTAGATTTATTCGGCGCGGCGATGCAACGTGCAATGCATCTACAAAGTTAGGCGGTCTACTAGGTCAGCGTGTTTTTTGTGGAAAGACTAGTGCGCACGCATTCTCTAGCATCTCAAACAGGACCACGAAGCTCCGTGTGTCCAGGAGCGGTCGCCTTGTCGAGGAACAAAGAAACGAAAAACGAAGATCGAGGTCTCTTCATCAATATTTATCCTGCACTTGAAGGGGGTGTGCTAAGGTTTCGGCGTCGACTTCGTGTTCAAAATTCGTGGGTGAGAGTCAAGCAGACTTCCGTGACGCCATCGCGTTCGCGCTCACCATGAACTGCTATTCCGATCCGAATTTCAAACTACCCTGAGTCATTGAGAAACTCAATGAATTGAATCACTTAAGGCCGGACATTCATTTTCATTCGAAAACGCAAGCGCAAGCGCTGTAGTAGTTGCATTTATTAGCGGTCAAAAGATATTTCAAAATCCCGACAGCAGGCACAGATGCGGCACAAAAGCAAAACATTCTTGCAGCCGCAGCGCCATAAAGATTACTTGCTCTTGCACAAAATATGGCGATAATACTAGCCGCTTCCGGGAACCAAACCTGCGCCCCGGGTAAGTAGAGCTCTACGAGTTTCAGACACGCAGCTTTCCGCAACGCCCAGACGCCTGATTGCCGTGCCCGCTATGAACCCTGCTCAGCCAATTCTCGCAGGCGATCAGCTTTAGCACCCAGCCGGTGCTGTCGCTTTCTGGCCTCGAAGTACCGCGTCCTCCCAGCTTTGCTCGTTTCCCCACTCAGGCGCTCTGCGTCCTCCGACGCGGCGTGAACGAGGTCCAGCATTCGGGCGTGCATCACCCGCGGGTGGAAACGCTTCGTTAGCTCTTGCCGCTGCTTTTCCAAAGTCAGGACCTCCTCCCGAGCGGCTTGTAGCACCACATACCTGGTACAGGTAAAGAAGCAATCTATCACTTCTGATCGACGTTACGTAAAAAAAGCTGCGCATCATCTTAGTGTTTGCTGAACTTTATTTTCATCTTTGCGCAACAGTTCATATCGTCTCGGTACTAAAACTAGCGGAGGTGGCGGCGCCTGCAGCTCGCGAAAGCATGAAAAAAAAAACAAGGCCTACAAACCATAACCAGCTCCGGGCAGCAAAGAACTATGTTTGGTTCGTACTTCTACCTCTCAGCAACTTTTTGGGTGAGGGCTTCCATCCGGGGTCTGATCTCGAGGTTTTTGCGAGCGGCAATAGCGTTGCTTTCCATGAGCTCGACCAGCATGGTTTTTTTGTCTCGCACGCAGTCGAGTTCGTACAGAAATTCGTTGAAATTCTCTCTGTCCGCCTCCTCCGCGAGGTAGGCGAGCTGCTCGACGGACAGCGCCTCTTCGACCTCCGCAAAGCGCTGTGGTATCGTTATCGGCGGGTCGCCTCCTGCTCCGGGCGGTCGAGAATTCGCTGGTGTCCCGTCCATTTTCGTCGACCCGGGCGGAGCCGCTCCGCCCGAGCGCCCCGAAGAAGGCGACGCGGATGAAGAGAAGGACACCACCTGTGGGGCGGGGAGAGGAGCTGGGACTCCTAGCTGTTGTGAGCTCCGAGCAGGTCCACCTGGGGCGGCAACGCTGCTGCTTTGCGCGACGCCACTGTTTTGTTCTACGCTCTGAAACTGCCGCGTGTACTGCAGGATCCTCTCCTGCTCTGAGCCCTGCGGCGCACCTCCTCGAGCAGTAGGTGTACCACTGGAAGCCGGCAGCGACGATGATGCCACGCCCGCAAACCCGCCCCCTGAAGCTCTCGGGGACCTCGTGGTGAGGTTTGTGGGGTAAGATCGACTGCTTATGCTGTGGTCTTGTTGCTGGTCCACCGGCAGCGGGCGCGGGGGCCGAATCGTAAATTCTTGAAGAATGTCACTCACGACTTGCCCCAGGTCCAGATTCGGGTGCCAGTTCCGCCCTAGGTGGGGGTGGCCCAATATGGCGCCCTCGCGATCGATCCAAGGATGGTCTACCCACGGCGAAACCTGAGAGAATGAAAATAACCTTCTCTGTTGTCATTCACATTGATACCGTTACCGAGGGAGAACAATCTTGATATGAATAATTATATGAATAATTGCAAAAAAGGACAAGCATACAGGACAGCCTCAGCCTATCGATGTACACATATCAGTTTTCCTACTTGAATAAGATACTCTAACATCCGGTGCGGCAGATGGAAACGGTGGCGGTATTGCAATGAAAACTTGCGTCAGCGGCTGCAGCCGCGAGTCCACGAGTTTGATCACCCATTGGCTAGCATCAGGGGAAATCTGCACCACGCGCGGAACACGCTGTCGCAAAGAAGCGATCTGTTGCTCGCGCAGCTGGTGTTGCATCTTTTCTTAGAAAAATGCCCAAAGTTGCACCACTCGAGGTTGATCTACAACCATTGCAAACTAGGTAGACCTCGAGCAACTAAAGATGAGAGGAACCGTCTCTACGCGTGCTTATCGACCAAATTCAAACGTTTCGCGCTGCCTCCAGAAAGCAGCCAGAAAAATGTTCCTTGAAGTGCAAATGGATCTCTGGGTGCGGTTCGGAATCAAGATCCCATGACCTTTGTCGTTGGTCTGCCGCTCCATGAAGCAACCGAAAAAACATATTGTCCAAGAACTGAAAGAGCAAATGCTACATGTACGCGATCAACAAGAGGATCATTGTTTCATTTCTGCTGAAGCCAGAAACAAAATCGCAGCTGCACTCTCACATCCATCCAGGCTGCTGTCGTGCGAGCGATACTCTTTACTTCATCGAGAGATCGTGTGTAGAAATCACCTGCGTGCTCGCTTCTTCAGCCGAGCGAGTAACAAACTGTTAGTTTAACGTTTGTAAAAAATCAACGAACGCGCACTGTAATGCTGCTTTAGCTGCTGGGTCGAGGACACCCATTGGATGGCCGCTCGGTGGGAGCAGTCCCCCGCCACGTCGTCGAGGCGCCCAGGGAGATGGAGCACCTGACCCGCGATGGAAGACATTGACCTCTGTCACACCCCGTAAGAAAAGGGCGGCGCGAGGTCTTAGCGGCCCATCCGTAGTAACTCATACCACCTTGAAACAACTGGGAGGGAGGGCGGGCGAAACAAATACCACCCCGAAAGTCGGTGGGTTGTCCTGACTAATCTTCTCAAGTCCTGGCTACCGTACACTAAAGGGCTGAGGGCGGACACGGGCATAAAATACCGCCCGACCATCCTCAGCCTAGACTCACAGGCTCGCTAACCTGCTGCTGCCCGGGCATACATTTTATGCAGTTACCGCAGATGGGCCACCCATTGGATGGCCGCTCGGTGGGAGCAGTCCCCCGCCACGTCGTCGAGGCGCCCAGGGAGATGGAGCACCTGACCCACCGGCGGAGGCCGGATACGCCGAAGCATCCCAAAGAACCCGCTGTGGCGCTTGCGGCCAGTAGATGAATTTGGGAAACCGGTGCGCCCCTCGGGCTGTAAAGAGGGCCGATGGACTAAGACGCGGGCCTATCAGAAGGGTCCGCCACATAGCACGAAAGACCGCGATCGCGGCCTAACATAGCCCCATTCCAAACCACTCGGAGTCTCGGTCTCGCATAGCGATGGGAGGAGATGAAGTCCGGATATTTATCTCAAAACAGGTCCAACGAAGTCCAGCGCTCTAGTCAGGGAGAAAGTTCGCAAGGGTAACGGGTTCGAACCGCCAGTGCCAAACGACCCCTCCTCCCATCGCAAAGCGAGACCGACCGCCGTTCCTTGTCCCGAGGACAGAACGACCAAGCACCACCTATCCCGCATAAATAGCTGGCAACGAGACGCTTCCGACCTACGGAATCCAAAATTCCCGCACAACGCACCAGGCTAGACCTTCGGACAAGCGAAAGCCAGAACTTGCGAAAGGCGAAAGCCAAATTTCCCGACAAGCGGAAGCCAAAGGTCGAGTTTCCGAATAAGCGGGAGCCAAAATTTCCGACAAGCGGGCGTCAAATTTTCCGACAAGCGGAAAGCCAAAATTTCCGACAAGCGGAAGCCAAAATTTCCGACAAGCGGAAAGCCAAAAATTCCGACAAGCGGAAGCCAAAACTTCCGACAAGCGGAAGCCAAATCATCCGCAAAGCGGGCCAAAAAAAAACATCCGCAGAGCGGGCCAATCATCCGCAAAGCGGGCCAAACAATCATCCGCAAAGCGGGCCAATCATCCGCAAAGCGGGCCAATCATCCGCAAAGCGGGCCAATCATCCGCAAAGCGGGCCAATCATCCGCAAAGCGGGCCAATCATCCGCAAAGCGGGCCAATCATCCGCAAAGCGGGCCAAACATCCGCAAAGCGGGACTAACGATCATCCGCAAAGCGGGACTAACGATCATCCGCAAAGCGGGACTAACGATCATCCGCAAAGCGGGCCAAACGAGACTTACTACCAACGGCAGGGGCGTTACTCCCTGGGAACAAGAGAAGGCGAACAAATACCACCCCGAAATTCGGTGGGTTGTCCTGACTAATCTTCTCAAGTCCTGGCTACCGTACACTAAAGGGCTGAGGGCGGACACGGGCATAAAATACCGCCCGACCATCCTCAGCCTAGACTCACAGGCTCGCTAGCCTGCTGCTGCCCGGGCATACATTTTATGCAGTTACCGCAGACGGGCCACCCAATGGATGGCCGCTCGGTGGGAGCAGTCCCCCACCACGTCGTCGAGGCGCCCAGGGAGATGGAGCACCTGACCCACCGGCGGAGGCCGGATACGCCGAAGCATCCCAAAGAACCCGCTGTGGCGCTTGCGGCCAGTAGATGAATTTGGGAAACCGGTGCGCCCCATCGATGAAGGCGTAGCAACGAACGACGACGGGCTGAAAAGTGAGCCGATAGACTAAGACGCGGGCCTATCAGAAGGGTCCGCCAAATAGAACGAAAAACCGCGATCGCCCAGGCTTAGCATAGCCCCATTACAAACCAATCGGACGAGTCTCGGTCTCGCATAGCGATGGGAGGGGAAGTCCGGATATTTATCTCAAAGCAGATCCAACGAAGTCCAGCGCTCTAGTCAGGGAGAAAGTTCGCAAGGGTAACGGGTTCGAACCGCCAGTGCCAAACGACCCCTCCTCCCATCGCAAAGCGAGACCGACCGCCGTTCCTCGTCCCGAGGACAGAACGGCCAGACAACACCTATCCCGCATAGATAGCTGGCAACGAGACGTTTCCGACCTTCGGAGTCCAAAATTCCCGCACAGCGGACCAAGCTAGACCTTCGGACAAGCGAAAGCCAGAACTTGCGAAAGGCGGAAGCCAAATTTCCCGACAAGCGGAAGCCAAAGTTCGAGGCTCCGAAAAAGCGGAAGCCAAAATTTCCGACAAGCGGAAGCCAAATTTTCCGACAAGCGGAAAGCCAAAATTTCCGACAAGCGGAAGCCAAAATTTCCGACAAGCGGAAGCCAAATCATCCGCAAAGCGGGCCAAACAATCATCCGCAAAGCGGGACTAACGATCATCCGCAAAGCGGGCCAATCATCCGCAAAGCGGGCCAATCATCCGCAAAGCGGGACTAACGATCATCCGCAAAGCGGGACTAACGATCATCCGCAAAGCGGGACAAACGAGACTTACTACCAACGGCAGGGGCGTTACTCCCTGGGAACAAGAGAAGGCGAACAAATACCACCCCGAAATTCGGTGGGTTGTCCTGACTAATCTTCTCAAGTCCTGGCTACCGTACACTAAAGGGCTGAGGGCGGACACGGGCATAAAATACCGCCCGACCATCCTCAGCCTAGACTCACAGGCTCGCTAACCTGCTGCTGCCCGGGCATACATTTATTTTGAATTGACACATTTTCAAAACAAACCGCTCACGGAATCCACGAGTTTCATTTTTGTTCTAGTCACTTGCTCTTCAACGAAGACAAAAACTTTTTAGGTTCATTTTGTAGTGTGAAGGGAGGAAAAAACCCGGGTCCTTCATGTACGAGACGCGGCACCGCCGTGTTCCGCGTCCGCTACTGTCAGTTGCTGCTGCTGTGCAGCATTCATTTTGGCTTCGTCGTTGCGGCGCTGATGTTTTGTCAAAGCCAGTCCGCCGCGCGAGTCGAAGGTTCGCCATCGGAGCGCCTGGTGCAGCACCGCGACCGACGGGTCTTCCAGCACGACACTGACGTACCCCGAGAAGGGCGTGCGAACGAGTTTGCGCAGCGCGGTTACGATGACTTCGTGGTAAATTTTGTCGTCTTCCAGGTACACAAAGTCTCGCTCCCTGCCGCCCGCACGGAAAAAGCTCGCCAGGCCGGTGGATCCCTGCTCCATTGGCGTGTTCGCGGTAGAGGTCGCAGCCGAGGACGCCCCCGCATCGTCCACGTTGCGCCCGCCCTTCCCGCGTACGCGAGAGAGTCCATTAAACAGTTCCGTCACCGACACAAAGCCCTCGCTTCCCGTGGGCAGGTAGAACAGACTAAAACTTGACTGTGTCTCGGGCTCCGGAATGGCTGCCAGCATGTCCCGCCGCTTTTCCTCTTGCGTGCGCGGCGGGGGCTGCTCGTGCTCGACGCCGCCACCTCAATAAATGTGCATAATCAAGTGCGAGTCGATGCGCAACGTGTAGATGAGGTTCTTGGTCTTAAAGGCAAGCGCAAAGAAAGGATGAAAAAATGAAGCCCTCTTTGCAAAAGTACTTTATGTAGAAATCGAAGTCCACAGTAGACGCGCATGGGGATAGGCGTTCATTACATTTTCGCAAATGAGAAACTTCCTAACAGTCCATTTCTGAATCTTTTTATACCTGGCTTAAAGGAAAGCGTCCGACGCACTTTGGGTGTGCAGTTCAGCTTGAGTTCTTGAGCGGTCATCGGAGCGCGCTTCCCTTTCAGCGAAGCGCTCGGATTGAGCAACATACTGAGGGCGGTGCCAGGTCGGTATTCTCCCCCCGCGGGGTAGTTACCGCCGTTCTCAAAGTCATGCCCATTGTTCGCCGTAGCAAACTCTTCTTCTGCACTCTTTTTCACCCGCTTCGTGGTAGTCAGCGTGACGTGGAATGGCGAAACGCGGTGCAAACGATACGTCGCTGTGGGCATACGGAAAATTTCGGTGGACGCCAGCAGGGACGGAACATCAATCCCAAGCCGCGGGTCTTCCTGCTCTTCCTGCTCCGCATGCTCCTTCGCCGCTTGGAGCAGAATCTCGCCCCGCTCCCCGCAGTTCACCACACTCGACCGTCGCTTGTTGCTCTTGCGTCCCTTTCTGGGGGTCGCCTGGACTTGCGGCTTGTCTTTGTTGGCATAAAATTCTTTGTGGTTGAGGGCGTTCTCCATGTTCGCGACCACCTTTTCAAAAAGTTGTGGCGTGTCGCCCACAAACAAGATCCCCCCGCTGCCGCGTTTGT